CATAAAAGACAAGAATTGCTGTCTAAAGCATGCCTCTTATAAAGGGGTTTAACTGTATTTAAATGTGTTTCAACGTTAATTTCTCCCCGAGAGGTGGTGAGGTTATGAAATAGGTTGCCATCAGTTATGTTATTTCCAGTTTCATTTGACTTGCAGCTGATAGTTTGTTTTCCTCTTGCAGTCCTATCTCTCTTCAATAGGCCACATTATTTGCATGCATGGGGATTTGTGGTATTGATCTACCTCAACTATCAATGGATGCGGTGGTTTATCATGTGACTACCCTGTCATGGCTTGCTTTTTGTTGTTGTTGTACCGACTCCAAAAATGCATGCACCTTTTGCGGAGTCTTTTTGTTCTGCAACAATTGTGAAGTGGCTTGCTTGCATTTTGTTTCTTGTAAACTGTAGGCTAGCTAGTTTCCTATAAAGAATGCTATGCCACACTGATATGCATGCCGTTTGTGATTTGAAGGTATTCAATCCATAGCTGTAAATTAAGAAAAGGTATGTCTTGAAAGGCTGTGAGCAGGTTCTAGTGTAGGAAGCAGCATGTAATTTTAAAGATAAGCTTGGCTGCTTTCTCACTTTTAGATGGTTGGTTAAAAAAAAAAGGAAGAAAGAAAGCAACACTTGTAGTATTGATTAATGTTTTTCATATGAAGGAAGAAAGAAACACTTGTAATATTGAATAATGTTTTTCATAGTTAGTGGTTTTGTTTAATCTTGACAAGGTAAATAAGGCATAATTTAAAATATTGTTGATACATATAATTTGTCTTAATTACCATCAGTGCTTGTATTTACCAGTTGCTTCAAGGGAGGTCTGTAGGGAGTTTCTTTTGAACAGAAAGAAGTGGTATGGGAATTAAAAAATGATTTATTGAGGTTGAAGTAAACAGCAGAACACGTTGACCCACTGGTGAACCAATCAGATGCTCACCATGCTGTTCACCCGGGCATGCTGCATGTACTCACACTTCTCACAGCTGTCTGTAGCAGTCTTTTCTTGAGCAACTGTGTTTCCTTCTTATGTGACATAGTTGCTGCAGTGCTCTTTCATTTTTTTTAAATGTGTGCCTTGTCACATGAGGGCCCCTTTACCAGCATCGTGGACGTACGATGCATAGTCATGTCTCACTCATTGTGTGTAACTTTTATTGGCAGCTTATGTGATGTTGACTAAGCCCACATTCTTGATAACATTTTAGTTATGTGTCTCTCACTTTTTTGCTTTCTTGAAAAAACTGAGAGCTGCGAATGTTTTGTCTCTATTAGGTGAAATGTGCTGTTATATTCCTTATGTTTGCACTTATTTTAGTATCAGTACTGCTTTACATGTCTCTCCAGTTGCTGTGATTGATTCTTCTCTGCATAAGGAATAGTGATAGAAGCAATCTGTTTATGTAAGGCGATAGATTTAAGATTGAAACAGGACACAGAAGGGGTTTTTTAATGGTGGAACCTTGTTTCTTCTACTAGGTTTGTTAAGACCAAGAATTTGTTTGAATGAAGTAGGAATTTGAATTAGAGCCTGTGCTGTTCAAAGGCATCATGCGCTATGTATATGTAAATTTGCTGTGAGTGTGGTGTACACTTGCAGTTATAATCTTTTGACTGAATTTGTAACTCCAGATGTGGTGTTGCTTATAACAACCTTGACACTATGACACATGGTGGTAGCTGATGAGTGGGAAATGTTTGTTTCTCAGACAATAAAACATTTGAAAGTGTGTTAGCCCACCAGAGCAATCCTATGCTGGGCTAACATGTAGATAATATAGCACTCCATGTTTTTTATGGGTAATGCGTCATTTTAAAAAAGTGATGTAATTAAGGTTTTTTTTTCTTGTGACTGAGTTGGCATTTTGATACTACACTCAAATCTCTTTATAACAAAGTTGCTTTTTACACAAAATAAGTTTGTTATATCCAAAAATTCTTTATAAAGGTTTATTCCTAACTTTATATCTATTGCAACTTTTATCTGGGTTCTTTATATCTAGGGTTGAGGGCAGAAACATATGGAGAGGTCTTACAACCGTAAGGTATCCTACTGCTAGGCAGTATTTTTCTTTAGAATTAAGTATGCCTTTATAATGTGCTCAGAGGGATAATGGTGAAGTGCAAGGCAGTGTAAAGATTTGTGCTCATGTCACACTTTATGAGAGCAGTTTTTTTTCTCATGCAAGCAAGTGCTGCTTGTCTCATTTGATTGTCGTGCTTATGGCAAGGGAGAGTGCAATTTTCCCCTGTAGGGAAAGGTTGAAGGTTGGTCCAAACAGGAGACTGAGTTACTGTGAAGCATGTAATCACCTGTGTATGGGCCCCTTCAAGTTGTTGCATGTTAATGCCACATCATCTAAGCACTAGAATTTGTGCTTGCATTTACCTCAAGTTTGTCTATTTGTCTCTCCCTTTCATTCTTTCGACCTTTGTCAAACAACAACACATGAGAGCGATTCTTGTCATTGCCAGGCTCTCTCCTCATTACCTGCTTCATCATTGCTGTAGTATCAAAAAAAATTCCTGTATCAAACTTCAACTGAGATTTAGTTAATTGATAAGCGGGGTTTAACGTTCCAGACCACCATATTATTATGAGAGACGCCGCAGTGGAGGGCTTCGGAAATTTCGACCACCTGGTGTTCTTTAACGTGCACCCAAATCTGAGCACACCGGTGTACAGCATTTCTGCCTCCATCGGAAATGCAGCCACCGCAGCCGGGGTTCGATCCCGCGACCTGCGGGTCAGCAGCCGAGTACCTTAGCCACTAGAGCATCATGGCCGGGCAATTGAGATTTAAACCAGTGCCAGTGGATCAAGTGTGCATTTTTGAAGTAGAGCAAGCTAACCTTTTGTCTACCATACAATGACAGTAGTACTAGACAATGGTGCAAGGCTTTATGCTGCATGCAGACTCTGATAGCAGTCATGTCTTTGCATGCATTTCTTCTCGACAGGGTGATAGTGTGTTGCAACTTCTCATTTAGATGGTTGTGAAAATCAAATCTGTAGACAGGGCCAGCATGAAGAGGTCTACGTGATGGTGAATATGGGGAAGCTTGACATTCTCTGTTCCGCAGCATTATGAGGGCATGTTACAATGAAAATAATGAGCCTTTTCAAACACAAAACATTTGCAGTATGTTTTTTGGGCGCCTCAACAAATGATACTATTAAAGAGAATGATGTGTGCCTAGTGAAATTTAGAACCAAATCGAAAAAGAAATGAAGTGATCATCTCGAATCTAATATGAATACGAATCAAATAATGTTTGAATAATTTTTTAATGGTAAGACAACTATTTGTAGGAAGCCTGGAATTCTAGCACTTTTTTTCGTTTCGTATAAATATCCCCACACCTTAATACAGCGACATCGCCATTGTATTTAATTCACAAAATTAAAACATACTACAATTAAAACTGCTGCTTCGAAGAGTTCATCTTTAAGATAAATTTCGCAGCGCGAAAAGACGCAACATTTGTGTTTCGCTTTAAGTGTGTGTGTTTTTCTTAAGTATATTTTTCTTTCTGTGCTGGTAAATCTTATCTTATTCTACAGTTACATAAACTTAGGTATGCTTATACACAGCAGCAACTAGAGCCTTAGAGGTGCCTAAGCTTTAGCATGAATACGGCAGTTACCTCACTATTCTGGGCAGTACTTTGTCACCAGCTTTTTAGGTAGCATGACGTTTTAAAATAATGTTTCGTGAATCTCACAATAATGATAGTGGATTGAGGATACATTCGATGACACTGAAGTTAAAAGTGAAATATTTTTTCATCCTGTGATGTGTAATGCTTCTCTAGTCTCGTAAAAGCTTGCACTACATGCGTCTTTGCAATTCACTAATTAAAAAAAACAAAAAAAAAATATCCTTCGCTCTTCCATCGTGTTGTCCCTCTGGGGTTTTCCTGTTGGGGCTGATTGTTCGAAAAGTATTAGAGAAATATTTGATAAATGGCATATGCACTGTTGGATTCGAGTACTAAATCAAATATAACGCTATTTGACTTACTATATTCAAATTTTTTAAAATTTTCACACTGCGGGTGCATCTTTTTTTTTTTTTAATTTTCACACTCCTGGTGCATCGCTTGGCAGTTCCTGCCAAATGGTGGTATGTTTGGTTGTAATTATTCGTTTCCATGTGGATAAATATGGCACTACTTGCACTAAGCACTAGTGCACACTATTGACTCTCACTCTTCTGAGAGGCTAGCCCCACCGCAGTGGTCTTGTGGCTAAAGTACTCGGCTGCTTACTCGCAGGTCGCAGGATCAAATCCCGGCTGCGGCGGCTGCATTTACGATGGAGGCGGAAATGCTGTAGGCTCATGTGCTCAGATTTGGGTAACCATTAAAGAACCCCAGGTGGTCGAAATTTTTGGCGCCCTCCACTACGGCGTCTCTCATAATCATACGGTGGTTTTGGGATGTTAAACCCCACATATCAATCAATTCTTAGAGGCTAAATTATATAATCGTTTTATTTAAAGCAAATATGCCTCATACCACTGCATCATTTTGCATGTGCCATTTTCTGTAAAAGTTATGGCCTCTGAAGTGCATATTGTAAACCTGGCTTTTCATAACAATAGACTAAGTCAGGAATCCAAGCCCTGTTTAAGACCACAATTCCTGGATAGATGTATCACACATGTCATGTAATGTGAACTTACTTCACTGGCGTGGTAGGATGTTTAACCTCTCACATGGACAATCTGCAGCATTTGCTTCAGAATTGCTCACAAAGGCTGAACGATTGAGGTGATTCTCAGAGAGCCACAAAACTACAGGTCTGAGACCTTTTAAGGCCTCAAAAGTACAAGGAACCAACTATTATGCTGTTACGGTCTTACTTTCACTGTTGTAAACTACTATTGTCATAGGACTGAGTACAGAGTCAAAGGAATTACTGATATAGGACTGAGTTCAGAGTCAAAGAAATTGCTGATGTCTGTTGTTATTTATTGCTTTTTTTATTTACAGGATTCGAGCTCAGCAACTTGACCTCAGCCATGCTGCTTGAAAATTCTCGTCTGATTCGTAGCCCATTAAACCAGCAGCAGAGTCGTGTGGCTGCTTGGATCCTGGACTCATCAGCCATTGACCATGGAAACAAAGGTGATTTTTTCTTCTTTAGTTACATGGCTTAGTTAGTAAAAGCAGCCCTGCCAAATGTTTGGATGGCTTATTTTTGTATGGCCTAGCTTAAATATTATGTGATTCACCAGTTTACTGTGTTAGGCAGCCATTCTACAGGGTATATCCATAGACAATGGTACTTATAAAGATCGCATGGCAGTAAAGCTCCCATAATTTTTGTAAACGAACTCTACATCAAAGAGAAGTATACTTTACTCCAGCTGAAATGACATTTTTGTGACTAATTAACAAAAGCTTGTCAATTATCTTTCTAATTATTTACTTGGGGGTGGTCATATATATTAGAAAGTTGTAGCGTGTACCAATTTATAAAATACTCATTTTTCCAAAACCACAAAAGTTGTAATTTGAAATTTTCGCCATCAAATTTCGAGGGCGATATTTACACTGACTGTGCCCGGTACGCCTGAAATGTGACCACTCTTTTATGTCAGACTGAAACTACCAGTGATTAGGAAGTGATGATATTTGAATAAAGGCATGTCTTGACTTATCTTTTTGGGAAAAGCGGCAATTCATCTCACTTTCGCGAGCTGATCACATTGCCTTCGTGTGTGTTATTTGATGCTTATCTCTTTCTTCCGAGCTGTAAGAATAGCTCAATATCAGCTTATTCGTTCTATGTGAAGCTCAAAACCCTGGAGCAGCCACTGCGGCATTTCTTCTTGCAGACATGCGAAATAGTTTTTCACTCCTGTTAGTAATTTAGGAATGAACAATTAGGCATGACACTTTCCACCTAAAAGAACAAGCGCCCCATGTGACCAACATACTTCTTCCCGCACGATAAGGGTATTTCGTAAACCACTCCAGTGGCGCACTTCATGAACGGCCGCGCATGATTCGTTTTGCAGCCTTTCAGCTGTGGAGCATGACTTCCATTGATGTGAGGGCACAACTTTGCCAGTATGTTTGGGGCGGCGAACACCAGCAGTACACCATGCAGACTCGCCACCTTTTTTAGGTTGTGTGCAGCCGTATGAATATAAGGTACCATCATCGGTTGTTCTTTATCCTTTCGTGTTTCAGCCGGGCCTTTATTTTACTTTCTGCAGAAGGCATTCCGCAACCGAAAACAAAATCGAGCAAGGGACCCAGTACCTTATATTTATAAAGTTATGCACAACCTAAAAAGAGGTGGTGAGTTGGCATGGAGTACCGCTGGTGTTCACCGCCCCAAACATACTGGCGAAGTTGTGCCCTCTCATCAGTGGAAGTCATGCTCCACAGCTGAAAGGCTGCAAAAACAAGCATGTGCAGCCGTTCACGAAGTGCGCTACTAGAGTGATTTACTGCCCCTATCGTGCGGGAAGAGCTATGTTGGCCACATGGGGCGCAGCGTCAATGATCGAGCGAGGGAACATGCTCTCATAGTAAAAAATAAGGACAGTGCACATTTAAGCGCGCATGTCACTCCATGTGGATGCACACTGTGCTTCATGCAAATTAGGATTCTGGGTAAAAGCAAAAGCAAGGTGGCATGGGAAATTTCGGAGCCCTATCACATAAAGAAACAGGATATTAATTGTGTTAGTGAAACATCACTCAACCTTTTTGAGTCTGAAACATGTTATCTAGAGAGCATGTGCCCAATAGTGTGATTAGGTAAGCGACGGCCCGAGCATGTTGCGTATGTGTTGACGAGAACTCAGTTTATAATAGCCTGTTTCCTCAAGGAATAAACACTTGTAAGTGAGCGTCCGTCCTGCCTATGTTGTTTTTTTCTGCTGTGTGGTTGTGAATTTGGCGCGAAGTTGACTGTTTAATTGTACATTATCTCTTGCATTCAACTGAAAGTCAAACCCTGCGACTATTTATAGTTGTTTCCACTTCCTTTAAGCCAAAAAAATGAATTTGCTTGTTTTGTATTTAAAAAGAAATCTTGCGCAGGTTAAATGTGTCAAGTATGCCCATTGTTCTTTATAATATGGGATATGTATTATTTGAATTCGTTTTGAAATTATTCTACCAAATCACTATTTGTTTCAAATTCACTTCGAGCCTAAAATGTACTATTCACAAAATGCACATAATTGCATTGTAGAATCTCAGAAAATTGTAAGGAAACAAAAAAAAAAGACCACACTTTTTTTTAAGTATAAAAAAAGTGATGAGAAGGGTGCAATGACTAGTTTGACTTCCATTTGACATGGCAAACAGGTGCGTGATTCTCGGTGTGTCCACCTTGTGGACTGTTCACTTCGGCTTTCACTGATTGGCTGGAGCTCGATGAGCAACACCCCCCTTCCTGTTTTCGGTCTTTCTTTTGAAACGTCATTGTAACATCACATATCTTTCACAACTCTCAACGCAAATAAGAACAATGGAATGCGTTTCATCGCAACGAGTGCTGCCCTAGAGATTCATTCTGGGATGCACATCTCGGAGGTCATGAATAAAGTCTAATCATGTTAGCCGTTGAACTAAGTTTAATGCAGTTGCTAACCTAACATGCTTGGATGGTCGGTACGCATTCCAGAATCTGCATCGTTCTCAAACATCCGAAGGCGTTCATATGCAATTTCAGACTTGTCAAGTTTTTAAATGTCTTGTTACTATAGATTTCATCCACTTTTTTTTTCTCTTTACCCTGAGAATGTGCTGGCGGTATCGATGTGTCGATGCGGCCAAGAGTGCCATGATGTCTCGTCTCGCCACTGTTTTGAGTAGTAACAGAAAGTGCTCCGCCAAAGCAAAGAAGACTTGTCCACTAGGTGGACCCATAGAGAATTGTACGCCTGCAGAGGGGATGGGACAAGAGATACTTAAACAACTAATATTTTTCTGGCCCAAAAAGGTGGGGATTTTTTTCTCTATTTTTTTTTTCCAGAAGGGTTCCTTGCCAGGTCTCATTTCAAAATCCTGTTGTAGGCTGTAAGTTGCAAGGTTCTGTTTAGGGTGCATCTACATAATTTATTTTATTGTATTTTTTTTTTCAAATTGTCTCATTTTTTAAAGAAGCTAGACAAAATTGAATGCCATTGTCATGCTGCCAAGTGGCAAGTTCCACTGCCAACAGCACCACTGTTCCCTTTTGCCTTGACTAGTGTTTCCAAGTGGCATTCCTTCACGGTCTTCTCTCATAGAAGAGCCGAGGAACTGCATCCTGTTAAATCATCAGCCCCGCATTCTTTTCTTTCTTTCTTCTTCTTTTTCTGCATGGTGCACTGCATATTCGACATTTGATGATTTGCCAAAGTCCCATGTCGTAGTTGTGATGTTTCCAGCAGTGTACCTTATTTAGTGTCGTCTGTGTTCATTTGGTCTAATAAAAATTGCAAATCATGCATGCCTATTAAAAATTGAAACATTCCTGAGGGCTCCCAACATACAATTGCATTAGATCGTAATTATGCGCTGCATTTGCTTATTTATGATGCCCAAATCTTCGTGGCCTTTTGCCAGGCTTAGGCATTGCAAATATAGTTGGGGTGCGTGGATCACCTAGTGGTGATTGCCTGCATACTGCTAATGTGACAACAATGTGCCCCAAAGAAGCAGCTGAAAATTCAAGTAAAAGCCCAAACACTCTTCTCTAAGGAGTGCACTCTGACCATGAGTTGGTGGTGGGCTCCCCGCTTTGATTCAAGATGAGGCAAGAGAAAAACGCTGTGTTTAGGCACTGGTCAAGCACAGGATTGAGCTTTCACATTGGAGGTTAGCCTCACACATCACAACATATCTCCTTATATATATATCATGTTTTACCATTGAAGCGGCCCTGCAACATAAATTAGGCATGTCATTTCCATGGCTTCTGGTATTATGCAATGCATTAATGTCGTACCACAAGATGTCTTGAGCTGTGTTTTTGATGATGCACTAAATGTAGTTCCGTCTTGCTATTCTAGATGCTTCAGTGCTCCAAGAGAAGTTGTTCCACTTGTCCAATCTACTGCAGCTGATTGAAAATAGTCCCAGCACAATGTCTTCAAATTACCTTGAGGTGTGTTTGTCCTTTAACTCTAAGAGAACTGAATCCTCTGTATCTAGTGGTAATTGCTGCTATGAGCTTTAGAAAACTTTGAAGTAAAGTTTCTTGCTTGATCTTTTTTTTCTCTGTATGTGATTGTTCTATGACTGTGTATGAAACGACTTGTTGATAGAACAGCAATTAGGTATAGCGTCTCCATCGAGAATACATATGCACTCTAGAAGAGCGTCCGAAATGTTTACCCACTTACCAGCCATTCCAGTCTGAAACTATTTCGCCAATTTTGAGTGATACGAAAGAAAAGTGTGCTCGAAGAACGCATCAGATTTATGTTTTCACCATTGTTTTTGTGCCTTAGTCTTCCAGCAGTATTTATTTAGACTGCGTGAGGCGCCTGACAGCATACTGCTGTGGGCGTTTTTCATTTTTGGGGGAGTACAACAACAGACTGCAAAAAATTAATACATGTTTTGCCAACAGTTGGTCTCTTCCAGGGCTTTCATTGTTAAATGTTTCGCTATTCTTGTGCACTTCAGTGGTGAAGGGTAAGAAATTAAGTCAACTGTGATTTCCACCAGTGTAACTGAAAAAGAACATGCTGCTATAAATACATATAACAGTTAAACCACTTTATGAGAGACATGCACCAAGGAACATTTCTTTTCTGTTGTAGGAGGTGTCTCTTGTACGGCGTTCTTATTTTCTGATCATCCTCTCTTTTGATGCAGGCACACTGGTGTCTTTTATATCAATTTGTCCCATATTGTTTCACCCATTTGTCACCCATTTCATCAGTCTCTCTCATAGAGGGTCTCAACTGTAAACAGTGTGATTATACATGAACCGAAATATGCATTTCAAAAGCTGCATACAGGAGCAGTGAGTATTGCTTAGCGCATAAGATTTGCTTCAGTATCACTCTCAAGCTTGACATAAGCCCAGGAATTACAAGAGTGTGGTGTCCTGCTCACCTTTAAATTCTTGCTGCCTAAAGAAAAAAATAACAAAATTAAAACAAAAGATATTATTAATGTGTGTTATCATTTTCTGGCATTCTCAGATTCCCGAGATGGAGCATGTGGTCGGAGGTCAAAAGAAAGATCGGAAGCGGTTCCACCTGAAGCGCATTAGAAGAGGCAAAAAGGACTCTGAGCCAGGTGTGGCAAGCAAAGGGGGCAGCAGCATTGGGAAGCAGCCGCTAAATGTTGAAATAACGGTGTCACAGGATGCAGCTGGGGCTAATGATATTTTTGCCAGTATGGACAACCTCACGGAGGCAAATCGCTCTGAAAAGTCGGTAAGTGGCACCGTGTACATTTTTTTCCATAGCAACTCTGAGTACCTATAATTTTAATGTTGCCATGCTTGTAAATGTCAACATTATTTAACCAGAAGAGGTAGAGCTGTAACAGACATTATATAGAAAGTGATGCACAGGACAATGCATGGATACTACAGTATATACAGTTATAATTTGCTTGTTAACACTAGAAATTGCTGTATTCTTCAATTTCCATTCATTTTCCAGTATCTTTATTAGTATTATTTTGTGGATATTTTCATTGGTGTTTTTCACCCTAGCTGGTAAGCTTGAAGCCTATATTCTCGTGCTACATGAGTTACAAATTTGTTTCGTATTTATCAAGAAAACGCTTTATTTTGAACAGATAAGACCGCCTCATGGTGAAAAAGTTTGATGTACGACACTTGGTGCGCATGCAACAGCATGTGCAATATATTGCACACTGGCACTCATGACAACGAACTTCATATTCAGGGACTACAAAAAACCAACAATGCCTATTAATACCATTCGAAGTTTCAGCTCTTGCCAAAACTTCGTTAAGAAGTTTCATGCTATGTATGGTATAGTAGTAGTTTCGTAGTGCAGGGGTATACAGAAAATTAGAAATGCTGCTTAGATAACAGATATTCGTGTAGAAGAAAATTTGCATCAATAATAACATTTACACACGCAGTAGTGCACACACAACAAAAAGAACAAAAAAAAAAGAACTTGCTTTGTAGCTATGTCAACAGCGAACCTGGTTGCAAGCAAGCACAACAAATGAGCGCGCTAGCACGCGCTCGTGCCTCCATACCGGCAACGCCAGCAGCACTCAGTCCTGGTGTGCAATACATTTCACACAAAACAATTCACTGAAGTCGTGGAGAAGCTATGCGCTTGCCTCCTGGGCAACTGTGCTCAAAATGAACTGCACACATTTCTGAATCATTCTACTACAAAATCAAGAACATTTAGCAAAGTGCTAAATATAGGGCAACTTATTTCTTTGCATTGAATAGAAGTTGCTCGATGGAATGAACACTATCTTCGAACATGCTCGTCAGGCTTTTTGCTTGGCTGATTTGTATCATTCTTGGTCAGATGGCAACACATGGCTTTGCAATAGATTGTACAAGAAGGCTTTGCAGATGCAGCAGTTGCTGCCCAGCACCGATGCTAAGAACTATGCAATACCATATTTACTCGCAGAATTTCGGAATTTTTTTCCGCAATTTCGGCACTCCAAGAAAAGGGCGCGCAAATTACACTGGGATTTCCCAAAAGCATACGAAATAATGTGCAATAGTCCTAACGTGTGCACTACATACATAAAAAAATTGAAGAAGATAAGTTGGAGTAGAAACAAAGTGTACTTGTTTATTTAACAGAGTTAGCTCGCACTTCAAAAATACAGATCCGGTTACACATAATCCAGTCTGAATCACTGATCAAGATGTTCGATTTGGGAATCATTGTCGCAGCCGCTGTCACCACCCTCCCTGAGCACATTGTCCTCGGTTCCGTCAAGCGCATTCAAATGCCCCATTTTCTGGATATCTTCCCGGTAATGCTAGGAGAAATTAGGTCCCACAAAACTGCGATACCAGAGGACCCAGGAGTTCGCACATTATTGAAAAGGCCTTCTTCAACAGCAGGAAACTTGTATTAGCAAGCGCGCCTCTTCTGCTTTCTGCCATACCGATCACATCGATCGTCATAGGTTGAAGAACACGCTGCAGTGCTTGGCGGAGGCACAGTTTTTGTTTTCTTCGGCAATCTTTATAACAGCGAGCTTGAATTTCGCCGTATATATTATTATTGTAGCCTATCGCTAGGGAGTAGTGAAACCGCAACGGACAGATGGGGAAACTGACAAAGTTCCGAAATCAACCAAGAGATGTTTCAGCACGGACGCAGAGAACGAGGGGAACAGTTGGCGCAACATGGGGGACAGGCGCTCGCATGCCTCCGATGCCTAAAGTTGTAGGTGCCCTGACGCGACCGTGCATTCTCATGATCGTAGAAATCATACAGTGCCTAGCATACTTTAAGTGTGATTACCCCCAAACGGCGTGTATGGGAACCCTTGAGGCCGCTAGGCGATGCATCCTCTTGGTGGCGCGCTTTCTTGCATACACATCAGGCCGCCACAAGAAATGCATGTTTGCATACTTGACTGCGCATGTCGTTCTGGCTTTTCGCATTTCTTTTTTTTTCATTTGAATTATATCTTGAGGAGTGACGATGACCCAACGACAAAGTCACTGTTTTGTGCTCGGTTGCAAGAGCGGGTATAAATCATGCAAATAAAAAGAGAACGAACTTAATAAAGTGTCCCTGTTGGCGTCAAAGGTGGCGGGCCGGGAGATGGGCCCCTCCATAACCCCTTTCCTCAAAAAAGCTGTTTTTCTTCATTGTGCCCAAGAAAGTGGATGTGTTTCAACAGTGGCAGCGCAACATTCCAAGAGCAGACTAGACACCTGAGCTTGCCTCCCAAATATTTAAGCAACGCATCGTGAAAGCAATCCCGTCACAGAACTGATGATTAAATTCAAACAAGAAACAAAGTATGGTGAGTTGCCGCTTGAGTAAAGGCACAGGATAGCGAAGTCCACGATCGAACTGGCTACAAATACCTAGGAATTCAGCATTCCACATCACCTTGTGTAAGCGTTTGACCTGCTTCAAACCTTTCTTATTGATTTTCTCTGAGCTTACATTTTTAGTATTTTTTCATACGCAAACAGTGATGACCATTTTGCTAGTAAATATTTTTCGTTAATCTAAATATGTGGGTGTCCAACGAACCTCGGTACACCTATTCGTGCCACAAGATTTATTATGGCAGCCTGTTATACAAAGGTGCCCCTAGTGCTGGTGCATATATTTTTGGTTATCTAATCACTGTTTTTATTATTCATCGGATCTCTTTTTTTTTATTCATTGCTCAGGCCAAAGCTTATTTCGTGTCCCTACACTAAATTATCTGCTCTTCTTATTGGGTAGTACTTATTGAAAGAGAATAAAACTTTTATTAGATTTTTGTGAGTGTAAGGCTCTCTTTTATTAAAATGTGGGACGGTGAAAAAATTTACAAAAAAAAAAAGATTGAGGTTCATATTGATCACATGGGCCTGAAAAGATGTGCCTTATAGTATGTAGTCCAGAAAACTTAGGTTCCTAGCATTTTTATGAATTTTTGTTTGACACTTGTCCTCATGCCTTAAACAGGGTGCAGTACATTTCTGAAAAAAAAAAAAAAAATAGTTCAGACTGCAGCTTTGGAATCAATTCGATGTTTCATGGTCGATCATTTGTGTAATAAATGCTTTAATAGCAGATGCTTGATTTGGGATCACAGATGGGAAACAGCTAATTCAAATAAACATACAAACAAAACCTGCGATTGGAGTTCGAACGGAATTAGCCACATGCTACGCAAGCCGTGGTTTTTAAAAAGAGACACTACATCACGAAGCGGTTGGTAGCAAATAAGAAGTAACTCCATAAAAAAAACCTTCATGAAATTTTAGTTAACATTGCCAAGACACACATAGCTGGCAAATCGAGATACTGTATACGTGCACAAGTCGCAGAAAAAGCACAGCGAAATTTCAACGCACGTCGCTACACTTGGCAATTCGCATCACGGAGAGCAGGCAACTAAAGGCGAGTGGATGTGTAAGCGGGTGTCAGCGCCCCCTGGATCTCTTTTTTCGGTGCATTGGGGAGCGGCTTCAGAGCCGGCGGCGCGGTCTGCACACTTCCCTATTTCTACACACTCTAGAGATGAGGAGATAAATCGAGGCAAACATTTGAGCAGTTTGACTTTAGAGCAGTTCTGGTGGTCCTTAGATGAAGGGTCTTCGCACTCGCCTGACTGTGCTAACCTACTCGGCAAGGCGCGCGCCCAGCGCGCCCATCCAAACCATCTAAAGGTTCAAAGTCTCTTCGTGCATGCGCTGGTAAGCTGGCCCGGGTGGGTTGGGGAGCGCAAAGTATGCCAGTAAATGTTTTTAATAAAGCTGTCAAAATATTAGAGGTGCCCAAATGATGCGAGTAACGGTATATTGCACGGTGGAACTCACGAGGATATATATAGCTCAAAAAACAGAATGGAAATCATCAAACGATTGTAAAAATGGATGTGTAGGATCCTCTGTTCATAGTTCTAGATGTAAGTTTTAATTCTGCCATTTTTTTCCCTCCAATTCCAGGATGGGTCTGCCGTGCTATCGATTCGGGACATGGGCTATCTAAGTTGTTCACACCCTTCATTGGCATCTGATGGAACACTAGTTGGCTCTGTGTCTGACAGCAATACGTACTGCTCGTACGACACTACAGGTGTCTTTAAGCATATGGAGCAGTTTCTTTCTCTTGCTAAGGAAGGTGCGTACTTGACCCCTTTCATGACAAAAAGTGAACCATACAATTTAACAGCTGTGTTTTGTTTTTTCTTTGTGTGTGTGCACACGTAGTGCATTCGGGCCTGCGAACCATGCTGCGGAGTCTACAAACTGAAAGAGAGCGCTTCAAGCAACACTTGGAGTCTGAGAGTGCTGCAAGCTGTGGCAGCAACGCTGCATTGATTGCAAATCTCAAGAACGCACTGACGCAGGTGGGCCCTGTTCCTTTCTTTTCTCTATGCATTACATTGACATTGGTTATATATTGCGGAATATTTTGTTCCAGGCAGTTCAGCAGAACTATGACCTCCGAGCCTGCCTAAAGAAGATTCACGAAGAGACAGATCCGTCGACTTTCCCAGCAGCTGATGGGTCGGCAGCAGAAAGCTTTGATGAGCCAACGGTGAGCTTACGTAAATCGCTTGCAATGGGACATGACATCATTACAGCCTTTATACAACTTCTGTCAGAAGCTTGGAGCTTGCTTGTTATGTCCCCCAAGTCACTACTTAGCTGACTGTGTGAAAATTCGAAAACAATAGCACAGAAAACGGGGCTTGTTGATTGTACTAAATGATTAATAAACCGTGCAAAAAACCACAGGACACCCAGAAATGGAATGCACAGAGCTCTTTGTGCGTTTGCTTTTTGTCTGTCCTGGGGTTTATTGAGTTCTTTTTTTCTTTATCTTGAAAGTAATAACTTGTACCTGCCTGCTGAATCTTCGGAGCCATGCGGATGCTTAAGAAGGTATTTTACTGCTTAAGGCAGGGATCTCAAACATGCGCCCTGTCGACCTTTCACTAGCGGCTTGCGATGTCACAAGGAATAAATTTTTGTGACTATCGTAAATGTTAATCACATTATTTTCTCGCTTATTTTTATTAATTATACTCCGTTCGGGAGCTTCAGGCACAGGACTGGTCTCTAGCATTTTTTTTCCTTGGGCACCCCATGCGTTCATTGTGTTTTTAAATATCACCATAAGACAGAAACTATATTCTTTAATTAAGATAATATGCAGATATAATCTATTCCACATCTTTCTCTGCAGATATGTCAAATTCTCTACAGATATCACCAACTTGTTAGATATGAAAAAGCATTCTTTCACATGTCAACATTAGGTGACATCTTGTTACAGTACTCCTCTCATCCCTCCATCCGCTCCGACTTTCTTCAATGTCTCGGCCCTTGTCGAACTTCAATTTCGGGAATGGCGCCCACTAGCAGATATGAGTTTGAGAACCCTGGTTTATGAAGTGAGGGAGACGCTTACTTTTTTTTAAATTCAGGGTATGTTTATATTGCTTGTCCACTTTTAGAGTAATGTTATTTCAACTGTGTGAGTGATTCATGGTTCATACCGAAAAAAGCTGACAGTGGTATCTTGCTTTTAGTATACTCTTCACGCTGCCACTTGGAAGAAGAAACAAAACAAAATACTCGAAATGTCATAGTTTTGCTCGCTGTAGGAAGTTCGGCCGATTAATTAACTTGAGGGCCGAGGAATCTTGTGGAAATAAGTATCATGATCAACCACATGCTTCGGTGTGAATGTTCTGCTAGTCTGTTGATCAGAACCTTTGGCAGAAAAACTTGACATTAACTGACCTTGCCCATGTCTCACCTCAGCTTGTGCATCAACCTGTGCAGCAGTCCGTGTCACACGAGAGCTCGTCTGCACTGTCAACATCGGAGTTCTTTGATGCAGCTGAAAAGTTGTCACTGAGCAGTTCTTCCTCAGAAGAAGAGGAGGAAGGCAGCTTTTGCAGTGAGGTGTCTGATGATGGCACTGAATATGCACCCGGTGCTGAAGGCAACCTCACAGATCGTCCGCCACTGTCTCAAGGGCGCCGCTCGAAGCTGCCAGCTCCCAAACCTGATGCGGGGGACACAAGCTTGTGGAACTTACTGTGTAAAAACATTGGCAAGGACTTGTCCAAAGTGAGCATGCCGGTGACCATCAACGAGCCCCTGAACATGTTACAAGTAAGTCATAAAAAACAGTCATTATTAGCGAATTTACTTAGAAACAGTTAGTATAAAGTGAAATGCAAACAGGTAAAAATAACTTAGTGGTGTGTATTCCTTGGCATTGATTTTTGCTCACTGAAAGAGCAAGTGCAAGGACTGAAAAAAAAAAAAAAGTGCAGACACAGCACTGTGTCCATGTCATTCTTTTCTGGCCTTGTGCATATAATGTGCTAAAAAAATGAAAGATAATAACTAGACTGGAGGATTCTTTATCATGCGGCATTTGTACTTGTAGCCCCGTGTCCGAGAATGCTGAGTTATACCAATACTACTTAGGAACTGACAGACAAGGAAGCCAAGGAAAGTATAGGGGATGTTGTTTGTACTAATTTATTATGTAAACGTAAGGAAAGGAAAGAGGCTGATAAGATAACCTGCTGCTGGGAGAAAACAAACCTGCGTGCTTCAAGTAATGGTTTGACGATTCACCAGCAGAGCTACTGCAGTGGTCATTTCCCCCTCCTTTTTATAGGACATATATGTGAATTTAAACCTGAGAGTGTTAGCACGATCATCTGATTCTGCCCGACTGGCTGCCTTAGGTAGTATGCTAAGGAGTATGGGTAAGCTGCCAGCTTGTAAATAGATCATGTGCTTCGTGACGCCAGTAGGCACTAAAAGAGTGTTTCACACACTCTCTGTCGTGGCTACTAGCGGCGCTAACACTCCCAGGTTGAAATGCGCTTGGTATATGCCTTATAAAGTGGACGGGGGGGAGGACCGTCACTGTAGCTCAGTTGGTCGAGCATTCGAGACGTTATTCAAAGCTCACAGGTTCGGCCTCTGCGAGCGGCAAGTTACGTGTTCTGAGTGCATAGGCATTCTAGTCTACTGTCATACGTCTGCAGTCCAATTAGTGGCACTAGTGCATTTGTGTGGGGCAATTGATAAGTTGTTAACATGCCAGTTTTAGAAGATGAGCTGGTTGGAATACAAGCAAATATTTCTCTAGCTCATAGAACATGATTCTTTTTGAAAGGTTTTTAGTAATGGCTGTAATGTGTCAGCAGAGTGCTCTGCCCCACCGTTAATAATCGTTCATGCATTAATAGATGTGCCAATGCTCTTCCGTGTTTCTTTTGGCTCTGCATCTTCCCCAAAATATGTAGCATTGTATGCATTGGTGCACATTTTGTATTTCTTAAAATTGTTACACTGCACAGGATTTGTAGTAAAACAGCTTTTAATTGGTATGACATCTGGCTTTAACTTGTCAAAATAATTGTAAAAAATAATTGATTGCCTCCTTTCAAGTTATTAGTTACTAACCATGTAAATAAATTGTTGTCGTTCTTACGAGCGCCTCATCTGATTTGTCGGACGATGGGTCCTAGGATGGGGGCCCGTTACCAGAATGAGACCCCCGGGGCCCGGAATCGCAACAACTGGAGAAAAGTGTTCCCCACTGTGGCATGTACGATTGTAGTTTAAAAAACAATTAGTGTTTTAAATGTCTAGCTGTGCGGTGGTGTTCGGTGTGTCTCATCGAAACACACAAAAATGGCTGCTTTTGTATATTCGACATTGTTAACGACTTGTGACCATGTGCAGTTACATGTATTGTGTGAAATGTATATGCTGCTTGCATTGCGTGTTGCACACACTTGGTAGGTCACCACTTTCAAAAAGGCATTAAAAAAAAAAGAAAGGCTTTGTAGGTTTTAACATTCTCAAGCAGTCTGTCTATTAAAAATATTTAATAGAAAGATTTATATATAGTTATCGTAAGTCATTCGAAAGTAATGACCATTTTTCGGAAACTGAAAGTTTTGATGTGCAAAACTCCTGCCATTTCATCGTAAATGTCTCTTCATATACATATTAAATAACACTAGGTTGTCTATGCAGGTATATATTGAAGCGTGTGGGACCTGATTTTATACCACTTGTTTTAAAATTTTCACTACACGGCTGTGGCGCTCTATTGTGTAGGTTGGGCGTGCTTTTGCTCACCTGTCAGAGTTTTTTTTTCATAGGTCAGTTGAAGCTCTTGGGTTTGTTCTGGCTTTTGAAAAAGAAATTCATAGTACTCTATGAAATATGACAAAATATAGAACAAAAAAAAAGTGTCAACGCAAGTTACGAAATCAATATATCAAGCATGGACCCGCTGTGCTGCACTCGAATGAGAGTCGGCTCGAGACGCAAAATAAGGTAGAAAAAAACAAAAAAACAAATCCTGCTCAGCTTGTTTAAAAGAAGACTGTGCAGCTTCAAAGGAAGTCTCAAGCTATGAACCTGATAAATTTCAGACATATTCAATGTTTCGTTACTGCATGGGCATTTTATTGAAATCATTAAAGACATTTTTCTTAAAACATTACTTTTTGCATTCTGCAGTTATGCAAACAGTGATAACTTTTCTTCTAACAAATATATTCGCTTAATATTTGGCGTGCTGTTTCTTTGTTGGTGGAACTGCGCATTGAAGCACTACTATTCAAAACGAGCTGTAAGCTTTTGTATTATGGTCACTTGTCCAAAACAAACGTGGGGAACATCAGCTTTATCAATGTTTTTATTATAGCACACCTTAGCTTAGAGGTGTAGCGATGGTGGAGGTTAGATGCACAGGATATTTTCCTTTCTACATACCTTCCAAGTCATTCTGGCGGGGTGTCTACCAACCTGAAAAACCTGGAAAAGTCAGGGAATCGGTATTTTTTTTTTGAAAAGTCTGGTAATTCCTAAAAACCCTGGGCAGGCCATGGAAACTGACAACAGTCTGTGCGACCGTCACAAAAATGAGCATTGCCATTGATCAGAGCTTAAAAAGTTGCACCTTCGGCTGCAACTACAGTGAACTGCCAGAAGAGGCGTGAAAAAAAAAAGGGCAGTGCATAACTTTTGCTTTTTAGTGTAAACACAAAGGATACACCGACCAAAAGAACACAAAGTTTACTGACATTTCGGCATCTAATACAGGAGCTTTGTTCACAATAAAAGCCATAAGAAAGGCTCAGATAAGTACGTCTAAGTACATGACTTAAGCAGTGAGAGTACGTTGTTGGAAGCATCCCATCACTCCTGCTCAGCATATGTACAGTCGTCTGTATGTACAGGAATTTTAGGTGCAGGCATGATGCAAGCTTCTTTTCTTTGGCCAGAACACATGCGCTTGACCAGTCAATTCGGTGGCCAGTAGATTCCACGTGTTCAGCGAGGGCGTTCGAGGCCACATGTCGTTTTGGGATTCGTGTTCAATAGATGACTCTTTTCTTGAAATCACCAGTTTCACTGATGTACTGGTTGTCACAATCGTGGCAGCCCATGGCTTAAAGACGACCAGGAAAGTTTCTGCTGGGTAACTTGTCCTTCACATAGACTAAAGCATTCCTTAGCTTCCTTGTTGGTACATGCACTATTTTGATGTCTGTTGCTTCTACATATCACACAGCATATCTGACTTTTGAACCACTATATTACTCACATCTGTAAATTTGTGCATGTTTGTCTTCGCCACAGTTTTAGCTCTTCTTGAAGGCCTTCTGGATAGGCTTAAACTGCCATCAGCAGAGGCTTGCCCGGCTATGTCATGCTTTTTATTATAATTACTGTTATTATTAATGCTGATGCAACGGTGAGCTTTCTCAGCTACGCACTTATTGCTGGTTGCTCGTGTTTCAAGGGTAGCATCAGGTAACGTCAGCTAAATTTCCCATATCAGTTTCTTGAGATTGCTTTATTAAATCTGTGATAATTATTTAGCACCATGTCCATGAAAGAGAATGTAAATGAAGGTAACACGCTTGCATTCGTGATTCATCGATGAAATTGAGGAAGCTGTTGCGACTTCACAGATTCCTTCTTTCCATCGCATACTATTCAACTGTCAGCACTTTCAATGCTATGCCCAGCTTTCATTGCAGGCGTCTGAGAACTTTTGTTGCACTCCAAGTGTCAGAGCTCGGAGAACTGATACACCGTCATGCATATGCTCGTCGAAAAAAAAAAAAAAAAAAGAAAAGGCAAAAAAATTTACACTACAGCTCCGTTTCAAACGTTTTCGTTAGTCATTGTTAAGACGAGGACGAGGTGTACAGAATATGTGACTAGTAGTTAGTATTCTTTTTTGCAAAGGGGCGTGCAAATTAGGTGGGGATGCAGGTCAATAACAAATACAGCAATCCAGGTCGCATCAGATACAATCCAATCCACATCCTAATAGTAAAGTCAGTAAATACAGCAGTTCAGGTCAATCTAATCTAATGCAATCCAATCCACGTGCTAGGTGGCGTAGGCTGCAGCCATTATAACCAACTAGAATATACTCCAGTGGCGGAACCGGCTGGGCTCCCGCATCCTCCTTTTACGTGGATGCCTCAAGATGGCACCGCTTCTACATTTCTTTGCAGCTTTGGCTGCGTTGTTGCACTATCGCGGGCTCCTTCAAGCTTTCATCTGCAGTCAATTTTAACTTGTGTGCTTGCTTCCTGGTTCTTCCGAACATCAAACAGCCAACTTGCTCACTACCTGTCTTGGTTTTATTTTGACCAGATATACATGTTTTTTTCATATTTACTACACTTACTCCGAACGTTCTGAGCATGTGCGGTAAATATGTTTATTTATTATATGTGAACACCTGATAATTTTTTTGCCACAGAGTTTTCCAAGCAGACGTGATGATCATGGAACTTGCTTTCAGTCATCATGGACAACCTGGAAAAGTCAGGGAATTCGGAAAAATCAAATTGGTAGACACCTGGCGTTGGAATTGCACTAACCATTTTCTAGCTCTGACTGTTCGTGGGACATGCATACTATTTTGGTGCATTTTTATTTTTATAAATTTTATTTTTCGCATTTTTGACAATGTTATCCTTATAAAGTTCCAGTTAATCTAAGCTCTACAAGCCAAAACCATAAATGAAACCCTTAGGCTACAACTATGTGTAAAATTTTTTTCTTGAAGGTGGTGACATAGGTTATTAAGGTGCCAAGGTGCAGGCTGTGCTGTCTACACCTTTTTTGTAATATTTATTATAACGGTTGTCACGTAAAATGTGGGAAGACACATTCTGTGGATAAACGGTGGAGTTGTGAGTATCTCGGCCAAGTTTTCTAGTCATGTGCATTTTGTAGTTATGTGTCAGATGAACCAGAAGTCGTTAACCTGTAATGTGTTGTGCAAATATAATTGCAGTACCAGTCTGTGCCAGACTGTAAGATCAGTACTATTATTATGGCTCATTGTCATACTGATCATTGCATGCACCAGTGTTACATGTATAATCTGTCACATTTATTGCTTGTGATTGAATTTGGTGCAGAAAATGTTATGTATTATTGTTTTTGTGTTCTTTCATTTTTTCTAGAGACTTTGTGAAGAACTGGAATACAGTGACCTCTTAGATAAAGCTGCCGCAACTGAAGACCATTTTGAACGAATGGTGAGACTATTTCTTGACTGTATGAACGTCCTGGAACACATGGATAGTTTGTCCAATAGTAATACACTTGTTTTAATACTTCATCTGATAATGCTGCTTGATATAATGTAGGTTAATAATGCACGTGTTGCACATTTTTGCCATTCGAGAAAAAAAATTTTCAGCCCCAGAAAGTTATTATTCACGAGAGCAATTTTAGTTATATTGTCTTTGTTGACTTCTTAGCCTCATGCTCCCCATGAACATTTATTATAAGAATTGACATTGTCTCCAGAAACAAGAATTACCGTAGGTAGAATATCCTTTATGGATATATATTTTTAGGCTGTATGTTTTCTATAAAGACGCACCCCTCACCGCTGTCATGTTTTATCATGGCTGAGAAATGAAATGAAAGAAATGGTAGATACTAAGTAGATTTGAGGCTGGATAAAGTAATAGTATTTGCAAGCAAGTGCTGTCATTTTCAGATGAAAGAGCTGAAAATACCTTGTCCAAATTCATTTTTGGAGAGTAGTAAAAATTTACATTGCCTTGTTAAGTAACTGTGCGTTGCAGCATTTCTAGTGGTGGAGTGTATTTCATAGGTTTGAAAATTCAAAGAATGCTCAAGTTTGTTAGTCATTAATTTTGATCACAAGATTACCAAGTGGTTTTCTTTTGCCACATCTTTTACTATATTCTAATGGGGATTGTTGTGGCAGAAGGAAATGGTTGCAAATCTGTTTGATGAATTGCGAGTAGTATAAAACGTTCGATGGGTCATGTTTTAAATTGAAATTATTTACTCATACTGTTGGCCTGTCGGCCGTTACAGGGTGGGTCAAAAGTAGCACTTTGCAAAACATACATTACATAATAAATAACGAAAGGCACTTTAAAAAATAGAGGAAAAATACATCGGTAACAATAAAACAAGAACAGAAACCAATAAATGAAACAAACATAGGCACACACAAGAAAATAGTTCGTTGATAGATTGATAAAATTTTACTACACCATACATGCGATGTTCGCCAGCAGTCGTGCAAACCATAATCGAGCACTACGTACAAGGATACACCACTGGACATAAGGAGAATGTTCCGTATATAAATGACACAAAAATAAAGACAGAATGCTTAAGAATAATTTCAGAGTCATCCGCAGATAAAAACATGATTGCATTCACATATTTCCTTAATTTTGTGCAAGGTTATTCTGAAATTCATTTGCACTGGCACTTTCTTGCGTTAGTATCGGCGATTCATTCCATTCTGTTATGGTTCTTGCGAAGAAAGAAAACATGTAGCTGTTTATGTGCATCTGAGGCACCTCGAAAGTACTCTCCTTCCCTCTTCGCAGTACTCTACCTTCTCGTCCTTAAGGTATGGTAATTCCAATAAATGAAATGAAATAAATCGTTGGTAGGACGCATTATTCAAGGGTCGCAGGTTTGAATCCTCTTGGTGGCATGTTATCTCTTCGTCCACTTTTCTTTCTTCTTCACATTACATTACAATTACTTCCAATAACAAGCCCCTATACTTTCCCTGGCATTATTGTCTGTTAGCTCTCACTTTTATTGAGTAGTATTGAAGTAGCTGATCAATTGGTGCTGCGCTTTCTTTTTTTCAACGTCTATGAGTAAATTCGTCTGAAAGGTAAAAAGGAAGAGAAAGAGAGAGAAGCTGCATTTATATTTCTCAGCTCCGCATTCGTGATGAAGCATTTGTAATGAAGTGCGTTCATGTGTTCCAGTGCATAGCTTGCTGTTGAATAGTAGACACCATGGCTCTCTCTGGTTTATAATAAGTCGTTCTTTGCCACCATTATCTGCAACTACCATCACACTGCCGGGCTGCACAGTGATATCCTGCACTGTGTGAAATTTGCAGATCGCCTGGCCATCATCTGCACATGTGAAGTCTTGTGACGAAACGTTCAGTTTTAACTAGTCCCATTCTAAAATTTCAAGCGCAGCCTAACCTTCTTGGTCGCCCAGTTAGTCTCGAGCACCAAAAGGCCACATTTCCTTAAAAAGTATGCGGTAGTCTCTGGCTTTGCCTAATCCTAAGACATAGCAAAAAAAAAAATGAGCCTTCAAGATTGTTGTTAAGTTTTGTGCCTTTTTGCACTGACTTGCCAAAAGCCAATGGACCAGCAAGCTGCAGAAGTGAAACTTCCTATGTTAATTATTTTGGTGTCCTGTGGCTGCAGCTGAAGGTATGCAATGCCGAGAGCATTGCACACCTTCTTACTTGATTGTAATTACGTTTCGCTAGATGGCATGGTGCATCGCCTGGCACATCATTATCATCATTGGATGTAGCGGCTGCGCCTGGCAGTGATCTCTTTTCTGCAAAGCCGATGCTGCCACAGCCTTCGCGGCTCTGCAACATGCATATCGTGGTTTGTTGCATCACAGTTGAAGCAAGTGTGCCAAAGAATAAATGTAGGATTTCTAGATTTTTAAGATATATCGGCCAAGATTCACTTTTGCAGTTGTATCATCAAATTTTGGTCAAAAATGGGATGATATGAAATGCATCATAATGCATTATTTTCTAGGGACATTGGTAAGGAATAAAAATTAAAATGTGTTAGCCCCAAAAGGTGTATTATGTATACAGAATTGTATCAAAGAAATTCTCTGTATATTGTGAAAGTGTTTTTGTGTATTTCATCTTGGAATTTGTTTTTGTTTACTCAATAAATTCATTGCTCTGACTTTGTCTCTCGTCATAGAATTTGTTTGGGTACAATATTAAGTGCATTCTTCTGGCTTATACCTGTCAACGCAGTTTATCTTGAACATGAGAACAGTGCATTTTTTTTGTCATTGGTTAAACCATTATGTACATTCTGTCATATCTGGTAATTGGAAGGCTGATGGATTATTTAGGTCAAGGTTACTATTTTTGTCTTCACTTAGCGCTAGAATGGAAGGGATGGTGTATCTTTCTTACTAAGGGATTGGATGTAGGTTCAAATTTTGCAGAGTACTGTGATTTTTTTATTCACTTTTTTAGGTTCAACCAATCAAAAGTGGGCACTCATTCAACTGGCATCATGTTAAAAATTGGATGCAAATACTGACTGATGAATTTGTTTTGTGTTTTGGTATTTTTTCTGCTTCTTGTGTAATTTGGCATCCTGGACAGCTTGACCAGTCTAGGGGTTAAATTAATGGAAGTTAGCTACAGCTGACTTTCATTAAGGAAATTTTAGGCAATTAGCATTAATCTTAATTATTAGCTCTACATTTTTTAGTGTATTACAGACTTTTTTTGTGTACTTTCAAGAAGCATGGTTTTGTTGGCTTCTGTTTTAGGTGTGCATAGCTGCCTTTGCTGTCTCTGGCTATAGCTCGTCATATCATCGAGCTGGGCACAAACCTTTCAACCCATTGCTTGGAGAAACATATGAATGCATTCGAGAGGACAAGGGTTTCCGGTTCATTGCAGAGCAGGTGACAAATATTTCCTGTATGGCCTTGCGCACACTGGATTTTCTTTAAAGGGGCTCTGCAACACTTTTTCAACATGGTCCGAAAACACTGCTGATCGGTAGTAGAGGCTCCCGACAAAACGCTAGCCAAATATTATAGCGCAATACGCGGCCTGGAATTCACAATGAATTATCAAAGTCAGCTAACAATTGCTTTCCCTTCTCTTGAAAAATCACAAAAGATGCTCAAAAATCATTTGTAATAAACCCATCTATCAGCCATTGGCTGATTTGAACATGGCGCGTTCGGTCGTTACATAGATCGCCACGAGAGGCCGCAACTTGTCCACGCGTGTGCGCGCGATCACATTGAAAAAGCCGCAGATTTGAAGTAGAAGCAAAAAAGTGCTCAAGATCACAAGGCACGCATGATGTTTTTCTTTGCCCCTACCATCCCTTCCTGCTTAGCTTCCAGCGCTTTCGTCAAGACAAGAGAAGAGAGAATGCAATTGCAGCATGCGACAAATCTTTGTAACGCCACTCGCACTGGACACATTCCTAAAATTTTTGCGATGTTGAATTGATGAGGCAATGAGCTCTTTTAGTGAATTCATTCCGTGGTTACTTGAAAAAGTGTTTCAGGGCCCCTTTAATATGTACTTTGTATGTCTGTTTATCATAATTTGAGAACAAATAGCATTTAACTAAGGCCATGCAACAAGACAAGACATGTTTCTTCTCATTTCTTGTTGTGGTTAATGCTGTTTGTTTTAACCTATATTTTCTAACTAACCCACATAGTCATGGTAATATCTTGTAATGAGTCAGGAATGTTGTGTCACGTCTTGTTGGCATCTTAATAGGAAATCTGAATAAGCCTCCTGACATGAAGTTATCAAGGATTTTGACTTCACAGTTTCTGATAAGAGATTGTTATTACTTTAAAGAAAACATAAGGAGACAAATGGAATGCTAATATGCTGTTAATGATTTGCTTCAGGTGAATCACCATCCACCTGTTTCTGCCTGCTATGCGGAGTCTAAGAACTACAAGTTCTGGCAAGGTAAGGTTCCAGCCAGCCTGAATTTTTTTTGTTTCGCTTTCAGGGTATCATTTTTCTCAATGGTTAAGCCTCTGTTCATTTGATATAAATTTTATTTTTTTTGTATTTTCTCACAGATGTTAGGATCAAAACCAAATTTTGGGGAAAGTCTATGGAGATCCTCCCAGTGGGCTCTGTTCACCTCGAGTTGTTGAGGTACAGTGTAGCTCACACTTATTAGCATCTTTTGCCCTCATTTTAAATTGATGCTTTCTTTGAAAACTTATGTGAAATTTGATTTGTCAGCCCTGTCACGGTTGTCATTGGCTGTTGTTTCTCTAGCCCCAAGAATGCAAGAATGCCTCCTTATGTGTTGCGATGCCACGTGCACATGCACATAAAAAAAATTAGGGTTCAATCACGTAGTGTCAAGTTTGGTTCCCCACAACACTATCTGAAAGTGTTATTCTCCTTGCATCACATACAGTCGGCTCCGCTGATAGCACTTGCAGTCTCATGGAAGTTTTGCCATGCTGCAGACAATCTTAGCCATTACATTCATTGGGATGCCCGTATGTTAGTTGCAGTGCTAGCATTTGCTGCTACATTGCAGTTTTGCTCGCAACAAGCATGCCACGTGGATCTAGCTGACAGCACTTATTTTTGATGCTCTAAGATCTCTCTTTTTGCACAGTGCCTAGAACGCTTGTGGCCATTTGCTTTAACTTATCTGGCACAGACTCGAAATCTTGCTGAGGTGATGGTATCATTGGAAGTGATATTGCTAACGAATTATTTTTCTTGATTGAAGCATAGCTTTAATATGCATGGTGTACCATCGCATCTGTCATGGGCAAGTCAGAGCACACATTTGTTGCCAAAAATCTCTATGCATTTTTTATTGTGTATTTACTATAGTTGTCTTATCCAAGTTTCACTTACACCGATTCTTCACTGAAGTGCATGGGATTTGTAACATCTTTTTTCATCTGTTATTTAGCTCTGGAAGTCACTACCAATGGAACAAAGTGACCACATGTGTGCACAACATCTTTAGTGGCCAGCGGTGGGTGGATCAGTATGGTGAAATGACTATTCGAGACCTGTCCCATGATGTGACCTGCAAGTTGACTTTTGTGAAGGTGCGGTTTCTTGCTACATTTCTTGTTTTACCTTACATGATCCATTTCTACTAATATAAAGTATCATTTCCCATAGCATATAACGCATTGTATGCCAAAATACTGTGCATAAAATATATGCCATAACATACTCAGTACGGTTTTATATGCCAAAATCATGTTCATAATCATGTCAATGGTTCTGCCTTATAAAACTCCCCAATTTAATTTTAACTCAAGTTCTGCATTAGCTTGTTCTTTCATGATGTAAGTGTGTCTCTTTAGTTTTTTCGTAGTGGTTCCAACACTAATTGAAAATATATGCTTGATTGATTGATTGATATGTGGGGTTTAGCGTCCCAAAACTACCATATGATTATGAGAGATGCCGTAGTGGAGGGCTCCGGAAATTTCGACCACCTGGGGTTTTTCAACGTGCACCAGAGTCTGAGCACACGGGCCTACAACATTTCCGCCTCCATCGGAAATGCCGCAGCTGGGATTCGATCCCGCGACCTGCGGCTCAGCAGCCGAGTACTTTAGCCACGAGACCCCCGCGGCGGGGCGAAAATATATGCTTCTAAAGCGAATAATGTTGGTGGGCTTAATGGCTTTAGTTATGCAAACAGCTATAGATTGATTTAGTTAATTCCACTTTGTTTGAGTTTTCATAGTTTTAGAGAGTTGCTTTTTTTCTCCCTCCTCAGGTAATGTCTTGCACACATCCATGCACGTGAGAGTCGGAGTAATTTTTAGTTAAAGGGGTACTGACGCAAAAATTTTGGCCTTGCCTTTTTTGCTTGCAATGTGTTGCGGGAGGCCTGTTAGGCATAATGTGACACATTGTTTGCTACTTTATGCTACAGGTAATTAGTTCTAGGCTCCTCATTACCGACCATTCTCTGTTTCAGTTTGAGAGCTCCAAAAATGACAAGCTGCCGAGTGCAATTATCAGCACCAAGTGTGTGCAACTTTCAACCGCGTCAGCGCGCAGAACTGTGACACACTTTCATATGATCCGCATGAAGAAGTCCTTTCGAAGAGGAAACGAAACAGCAGTGTCACCAAGCACAATACTTTAAACGGGCAGGCCAAAACCATTGAATAATAGTCTGCTGGTGCAAACGCTGCAAAAAAAACAACAACTAGTGGCTATGGTTTCATCATAACTTGTTGCAGCGTGGTCACGTGAAGGAAGTAAGGGTGTCATCAAGGGTCATCTTTTAAAAGGTGTCAGTAGCTTGAGGGAGTCAATCGTCAAAATAATTTAGTATACCTTCCAAGCTATATTCACTGTTGTTATTTTGTAGTTGATAATATAGGCATGTTCACAGGAATGAATCCCGCAGACTATCTTGGCCACAAAATTTTGTGTCCGTACTCCTTTACCCTTTTTGCCAAAATATGATGTTTATCCAATTATTTGAGTGGAGCAACAACTGAAGTCTTCTTGGTGTGCACAAAATATTCTAGGTATTACAGTAAATGCAGTCATTGCATATGCTAATACCGGAATGATTTTGGAACTCATTTCTTTCTTGCTTGTCCTTGAAACTGATATATAAAAATGTTGACAAATTGTCTCAATGGCCAGTGCATCAGGCATCTGATATATTGCGTTGTTTTGATTTTTATAGGCCAGCTATTGGTCTGACAAACGCCATGAAGTTTTCGGAACTGTGGTCAACAAGCAGGGAGATGTCATTTGCAACCTCTCAGGCCAATGGACTGAAGCAATTTACTGCGGTGTTGCCCCTGCAGCGAAGTGCATCTGGCGGCCTGGTAACGAGGCTATATTATTGAGAAATAGATACCCCTATATCTTTTTTCATTAAATGAAACTCCTGCTAAATGTAACATTTTCTTCTTGTTCCTTCAGGTTCTGTTTAATAAGATTCTGCTGTAATTTTTGGGGAATTTTATTTTGCATTTGTGTCAATTTAAAAGGAGGATTTGTTTTAATGGACCACTGCAAAGGATTTGCTGGGCATGAGTCCTAGGTGGCTATTGTAATACTACAAGCAGTGCCTTTGTGAATGGCAGTACTCATGGTTAAATTACGAAGGCATGTTTGTTGTGATGAGAAATGTCGTGACTTTTTATGACATTAATGCGTGCCACAGAAAAAGTCAAGCCAAATAAGGCTGGCTTGCAGATGAATGCCATGTTACCTCCACAAGTGGCACAGACAAACTAGCGCTACCACAATTTTCACAGTGTGTTTTACAAACAAAGCACACCACAGTTCAAGTAGCATGTTTGAACAATGGCCAAATCTATTGTTCAGCATTACTAACTTATTCACAAGTGATGTCAAGTCCCTGTGTGCAAGAAGTATAGGCAGGGTGATGAAACAAAGTACAGTAGACTCGTAATAATTAAAACTGTGATAATTCAAGCTCTTGCTTAATTCAAACAAAATTCAGTTTTTGGTTGGTCCTTTATTCTTTCAATGTATTCAAGATCCTCATAATTCAAACTCTATCATTTCGTTAATTCAAACTTTTCGTGGTTCTATACTGAAAATATCTGCTGCCTTCCTACTACTATTTAAAAATTCGTGTGCTTATATAATCCTAAGAGTCTAAAAAATGAAAAATAAGCGTGTCAGGCCTTCAAGAAAAAAAGGCTTTGCTGGTAAACAAATGCTGTAAATGATGTACTCACAAGGTAAACCGTGATGCTTCTCAACTGATATAGGGAGCTTTGTGCTGAAGGCACATATAGCAAAGAAGCAGTTGGCAATTCACAATTTCTTTAAAAAGGTTTGATCAGTAGTAAAAGGCCAATAAACTTGGGGACCTTACACTTATGCTTTCTGTTCATTGGATGCTGTTAGGGTTTAAGGACGCTTAAAAAATTTTAAATGTGGTAAAATCAATGTGTCACCTTCCCCAGAGCCATATATCTGAGAATTCCTCATTATTCAAACTACTTCATGATTCAGATAAAATTAAGGGGTCCCTTCAAGATTGAATTAATGCGAATCGACTGTAATAGTATGTACTACATAGTCAGTGCAAGCTACAAGCTCACTTTTCCTGTTTCTCTGTCGATCCTCCAGGATAAGTTGTTGACATAGGCCATAATTATTCATTGTTGGGCTCGTTTAGATGGCTGGACAAATTTTCTATTTCAGCTCTGTAGACTTTCACCAAACCTCTGTTACAACTTAAGTATTTCCTGGTCATGTAGGAAATGTTACTTATGAAAGCTTCTTTTAAGTAATTAGAGACAATGTATGTTGATACTATGTTAACCAAGTATCAGCAGATGTTTGAAGCGGTAATACTTTGCTTTCAAGGCTGAACTGTTGTCTTTTCATTTACTGCCATCCTAGTGTACACAAGGCACCTGGTGTGATGAAAGCCTGTGTGAGAGTCCTCTTTTAGCATAATGCCAACTTGCATAAGAAATTTCCACAGAGCTGCTTTTGGCCGAATCGCCATTCCACGCACATTGTTACTGTGCTCTTAGTAATGTCAATAGAAGTGAACAAGGATTTTAATCATGCCGTGAAAAAAAGTTTTGTTTGAGCTCTTTATTCTGTTGCAATACTGTACACAGATATCAATTCTTACTATAAGGTGTCGTTCATTACACCAGATACTTGCAATTATGAAAAGATGCCGTTACACCAGATACTTGCTCACTTAATGTTCAAACACATTGTGTTACAAATTCATAGCATTGGTTGATGTCTACAAATGTCTTTTCTTTTTTGGCGAACGAAGGAACAATGCCTGAAGACTATGAACTCTACTACGGTTTTACACGGTTCGCCATTGAGCTGAATGAACTTGACCCACAAATGGCTAAACTTTTGCCTCCAACTGATTCAAGGTTCCGGCCTGACCAAAGGTACTGCTTCTACTTCTAAGCTCTGTCTCCTGTTTCTGTATAGCAGTTTTCTTAAAGGAACTGTCTACCATCCTTCACTGCTTTTCTGTTTTGCGTCACCACAAAAAACATACTATCTGAGGTATCTAACCTTGCAGTGGTTTCTCTGGAAGTTTTGTAGAAATTTTGAAAACAATTTTGCGATCTGCGTTTGGTCTCCTTCCATTGGTGGGGTGAATGCCCACAACACTGGTCAGTGGAGGTGATGACAATTGTACTGCCGTTGAAAGTCGAAAACTGAAACTGCATGCAGTTTTCGCAGGCTTCATCAAGTTTTGTTTATTAATAAGACATACTATATGGTCGTTTAAGGCAAGCACGCACTTTTTTGTTGTTCTTATCAACGACGGCGGACACCATGCTCGCGTTTCTCCACCATTTGCAGGCCTGCAGGCAAGTGAACACACCAACACACTGCCACAGTGCCACCGGGCATCTTATTGAATGCGTGATAAAAAAAAAAGCAAAATTAGTCTCTAGCACAACCTAAAACTGCCAAAAGTGCGCAACATACAATTTGAAGTTATACATGTTTGTCTTTAAGCAAATAAGTCTACCTGTGAAGATTTCTTGTACTACCAGTAGACTGACCTTATCCTTGTTGGGTGATGCTAGAGGTCATTTTTCTTGTAAACTTTCAACATCGCCTAAAAATTTTAAATCCTTTTTTTATGGGACAAAAACAGGCTCGTTGCCGTTGATGTGATGAATGATCTGCTGATTTGCACCACAATCAAAAAATCTTTTCCGATCAGTACTTGGCCCCATTAACCTTTTTTTGTACTGAGTGTCTTTGTGATGTGCAGTATATTCCATTTCTGTCTAAGTAACTGGTAGAAGGTTTTCATTCAAAATGTCGTTTATTGTGAATATGTTTCTAAAAATTCAACAATTTTCAATATCTGGAAAAGTAGGAAAAACAAATACACTAGCTTTTTGCTAACAACAGTCAGCCCCTTTATAAGAGACATGCACCGGAGAGCAATTGTCTTTTATTGATATGAGGAATCTCTTATAAGCAAGGTACCACATACGCATTTTCTTATCAACCCCTATTTTAGTGTAGGTACAATAATGTCTCTTACACCCTGTTGTTACACCCACATCAGTGTCAATTATATATAGATTCGACTGTGTTTTTATTTTGGCAATTGTTTCCCTGACAGCATGGATTCTTTGTTGCTGCTGTCACCCCTTTGAAAACACCTCGTTGACAAACATAGTAGTCCTTTGAAGGAAGCTAATATGTAAAAGCTTTATAATTCGTTACAGTTTAAAAAATGTGGCCATTTGTTTGTCTGCCATGTCCAAAAATGAAAGATACAAGCAACACTAACAAGCTTTGAACCTTGTCACAAAGCTTTACGTTAACCAACTACTGAGCAGATGGCACAACCTGTCAATAAATATTTAGTTTTATCAAACAGCAGTCTTTTTAATGTGTCACATTCTCAAAGAATCTCGGCCATGGCTAAAGTTGTGCATCGGCAATCAGGCAAGTGTGTTTGGGCTTAGAATATTGTATAAGAGAAAGATACCTGAATGTTACAGTCAACTTAATTTTCTCAATTTCTGGGTGGCTCTACAGTTAGTGGTTACCCTTGGGAACATCTTATCCTTAGGTGTGGTCATAGTACATATGTTATAATTTCATTTTGTGAAATTCAGTGTTCATTAGATATTCTTGATGTTGAAATTGGGCTTAGAACATCTATACATACGAGTCTTGATCTAGTTTTGTCATGCTTGTGAACGTATGAACTCATTTGTGGTATACTACGCATTTCATGAGTTTTCTATACAGAGCCCTAGAACACTTTTCCAATTTGCCATGGAATAAATTCAGTGAAGAAGCTCATTGCCTCGCGAATTGACCGCAACAATAATTTTTAGAATTTTTCCAGTTTGGGCGAAGTAATAAAAATTTGTTGCACGCTGCGATTGCTTTCTCTCCTCTCTCGTCATCCTGACGAAAGCACTGGAAGCAACACAGGGAGGGATGGCACGGGGGAAGAACGTATGACATGCTCGCCCCGTGATCTTGAGCACTTTTCCTCTTCTCCTCTTTTTTTTATACGAGCGTGTGGTTTTTCAGTGCAAATGTGTGCGCACATGCGAACATGCGGCGATTCGTGATGGCCCCAGTAGCTTCTGAGCGCGCCATGCTCAAATCAGCCAATGTTATCATACTTGGGCCTATGACACAGTGATGTTTAAGCTATATACCAGCATTTGTTGAGAAAGGAAAAAGTGATTTTTATCACACTTTGAGAATTTATTGTAAATTCCAGGCCGTGTGCTGTGCTATAATATTTGGCTCGCGTGTTCTCAGGAGTCTCAACTACCGATTGGCAGTGTTTTCTGATCGTGCTCAAAAAGTGTTGCACGGCCCCTTTAAGGTTTTCCACTTTAATCACAATATTAGTATGTTCATTAATGGACCTTTTCAGTTGAAAATTTCATGTGGAATGTGCGATTTCACCATGAGCCTTACTGTAAAACTTAAAAAAGGGGGAACAAAGAAAAAAAAATGGGGGGGGGGGGAGAGTGCCATGAGAATGTCAGGTCGTTCTCTTGTCTTAAAATGGGGTGAGCCAGGGAAAAAATATTACTTGCAGACATTAGTCCAGGCAAAAGAAGGAGGGTGTGTATATTTACGAGGACACTTGCTTTTCTGGTTGTATGGAGCAGAAGTTCACTTCTCCACTAATGAACCAATATAAAAAATTGTTTTGGAGGAGCATTGCCTAAATGGTGTTTTACAAATGTTTTACAAATATAACCAAAGTTTTCTATGGAGCCTGGCAAAGGTTCTTTTGAGAAAAAGCTCCACAAATGTTGCATAATAAAATGTTGCTTGTAGGTTTGTGCAATTAATCGAATGCAAATATTCACACGAATAGCATATTTCTAATTCGATTCAATTTGAATTTAAATTATTGAAAATTTCAAACTATTTGCTGTGAACAAATGTGTGTATATTAGTCTGAAATATCTGTAAAGGTGGTTTCACTGTATTGTACGGATGCTAAGCCATGAAAGCACTTATCTAGGGAAATTCGCACTGCCGCGAAGCCTCACTTCTAAGTTAAAGGGGCCCTTCAACACTTTTTGAGCATAGTCAGAGAGTGCTGCTGATTGGTAGTCGGGGCCGCCGAGAACACGCGAGCCAATTGTTATAGCGCGAAATGCAGCCTGCCATTCACAATAAATTCTCGAAATCAGCTACAACTTGCTTTCTCTTCTCTCGGCAAGTAACGCTACAAGCTTAAAAATAGCTCGTCATAGCAATTATATCAGCCATTGATCAATTGGAGCATGGCGAGCTCTGTTGTTACTGGGACCGCCGTGGGAGGTCGCAACTTGTTCATGCGTGCATGCACGATCTCACTGAAAAGCCATGTATTCGAAGAAAAAAGAAGAAAAAAATGCTAAAGGTCATTAGGCACGTGTGACATATTTTCTTTCCCCATGCCATCTCTCCCTACTTAGCTTCCAACGCTTTCGTTGGGACGAAAAAGAGAATGCAATCGCAGCATGTGACAAAAATGTAACTCCACTTGTACCGGACATATTCTAAAAATATTTGCGGCGGTAAATTTGAGAGGCAATAATCTTCTTTAGTGAATCCATTCCATGGCTATTTGAAAAAGTGTTGCAGGGCCCCTTTAAATGTACGTATCACCCTGAAATAGATTCATAATTTTTTTATAGTTAGAAAGCTTGTTATGCCAGCTTAATGCTATAAGTATAGTAAATTTTAAAACGTTTCAGTTTTTATAAGTTATCCCTTGCATTCTACCGAAAACCAAATCCTGCGACGATAAAAGTTGTTTAGACTTCCTTTGAACAAAAACAATATAAAAATGGCATTTGCACAGAGGTCTGATTTCAATTTTTAAAAATTATTGTGCAGTTTAGTAAAGTCTTAATATATATATATATATATATATATATATATATATATATATATATATATATATATAATAACGCGTTCGATGCATCGAACGCGTTATTCGAAGGTTGTAGGTTCGATTCCTGTTCAGGGCTGGTTATTTTTTCACCCACTTTTCTTTCTTTTTATTTACATTCCATTTGTTCTAGTAGCTTCCTCTACACATTCCTTGGCATTATTGTCTGTTAGATCTCATTAATATATATATATATATATATATATATATGCACATGCACACACACACACACACACTATTCGCACAAGCTTAGTTCCATTCAAAGTTGCCGTTGTTGGCTACTTTGCTCCAGACCCTGTCTGGCTACATTTCAGGTTGGCACCATGGGTTCTTATTGGTTACTATGAATTTCTATTTTAACACATTTTCTGGCCATGTCTCCTTATTACTTCAAGATAAAACAGCTAGCAAGTCTAAAGAATAACCGTTACAGTAGACTCTCAGTAAACAGAAATCTGCTAAATGGAACTACTGCTTAAACCGAACTATTGCCTCTGCAATGCTTGGTTTCGAGCTTGTATTCTGCCGCCTGGTTCACCTCTCAGTAAACGAAACTCCTGTTAAATGGAACATATTTTCCCAGTCCCTTCACGTTCTGTTTACTGAGTCTACTGTATTTGCAAGATTTACTGTTGTGTTCGCCTGTGCGTGCACATTTCCTTGCCCTGCCAGTGGGCTAGTATGCACTGAGGAGCCCCAATGAGCATCTCACCATCTGAAACGATGGAGGGACACGTGCAAGTAAGGTAATGCGTGGCTATATAGCACAGTATCTATACCAGATTCTAATGCTAAGACACAATGCGTCAGACAGATATCTGCAACGAAAATGAAGCTTTATTGTTCATCTTAGATTAGACTTGAATCGGGACTAGTATTATTGGAACTTTGTACAAATCTCTGCCTCCAACTTCTAGAAAATAACTGCCTTAATGTTTAATGTTCTTGCTGAGTTGCTGGTCCAAAAATTACATTTGCAATAATTTTATCTATGGTAAACAAATTGTTTTCAAGGATAATGGAAATATACTAATTTATTATTTTATTTGCAACGTAACGGCGCTTTGGAGACCATGCAAAAAGGAAAAAGATTGTGCTCGTTATACTGTGCTTTTGCTTTTTTAAAATCATATTTATTTACTGTTGAATACAAACATTTCTGTACATGGTATCATCTCTTTTCAATTTGGCTACAAGCTTGGGGCTAAAATTAAATTGCATGGCTACTTTGGCAACTTATATAACAATAGCAACCTTACTTGCATAGTAAGGTTGCTTACTTATATCTTTGGCTGTTATACCTTTGGCTGCTTTTCAAATCTACCCAACAGCAACCTTACTTGCACTTACTGGGACATAATTGTGTATAATTACAGGCTGTTGGAGGAGGGCAACATTGCTGCTGCTGAAGCAGTAAAGTCTCAATTGGAGCAGAATCAGAGGGAACGGCGGAAGCAGAGGGAAGAACATGGCATTGAATATCAGCCAATGTGGTTCAGGTAGGTTATTTTTATCAAGCAGAAAGCTTTCTTAAAGCTCTCTATTTAGCCTTCAGGAAGTTAACTTTCTTTTAGTTAACTCACTGAGCACAGTAGCATATGGCTACATTGTATTGAAGAACCAGACACTACCATTAAGAGAAGTCAAAAATTGAACTTATTTTTGCATGTATAAATGTTATTGCCGATTCCATGCTGAAAGTCTTATCAAATCAGATGATGCGAACAGATGTCTAAAATCTTAAACATGCATGAGGGATAACACTGAAACTAAGTAGTTTGCAGTGTTGACATGTCAGATATTGATGATAAGCAACTTTTCTAACCGCTGTTATTGGGCTTTATAGTGTTTTCTTTTTTGGCACAAGTTTGCCGCGAAAAGAGACTTGCTACGCACCTTTCTCCTGACATTTTGTATATTTGCATGCTAATTTTACACTGTGTAGTAACTTCTCAGCACTGCTTAGGTGGTGAAAAATAGATTGACAAATCGAGTTGATATATGGAAATATTGTCTCATAATTAAGTCAATATGCCCTTGCTGGGTTGTTCTCATTTGCTAGGAGAGTAAAAAAGACTTTCAGTTGTGCTAGTCTTGAAATTTTTGTGAAGCAAACATGACTTCGCTTCTTAGATTTAATTTCAGGGTACCACAACATGCTTTGAAAAATAGCTTACGCGTGGCAATGAACGACTAATAATTTTCTCAAAATCACATTTACGGTTCCTGTGATCTTTTTCTTTGATTGCAAAATATTGTCACTGAAAGCTATGTATGAGTGCCCTAAATACTTTGTTGGGTCCACTATAAGGTGGCAAAAATTGTTGCAGAAGTCACAAAAAAACTGAATTAAAAAAATATCTCTCCATGACTATGCAATCAGGTGATAAGTTTTATTTTAAAGTGGATGGTGTAACCTATGTATTTCTCCACAAGCTATGAAAGCTGCAAAATTCTAAACACAAAAGCTTAGGAATTTAAGGAGAAGGTCAACAAGGTTCACGGAACACTTTATGCACCGGTTCTGAAAGAACTAAAGGCACGAATGAGGTGTTGGCAGCGCTGGTGTTGGCTTTTCTGAGCCACTCCTGTAGCATGTCACTTGTTTGCACTAATAATAGTGACACCCCCACACCAGCGATTGCAGGGTCTCAATGACGGCAGTTAAATCTTGGAGGCTCTTGCTACTTCCAGGCCATAAAAAATTGCCACGCTTCATTGCTTTGCCGAATAGTGAATTAAAAAAAAATTAAGAACCTTTACGATTTTCCCTCACTCTACAGATGATGCTGCCAACCTTCTGAGAAATGGAGGGTGTGGTTTATATACAGATAATTTTTATATAAAAAAGAAAAAGAAATACTGCCAAGGCAGGCATTGCAGAAAATGCAATGGCTTTGTTGTTTTTCGCAGCACTGAATTGTCTCTAACTGAAATACGCCTACAGGAAATATTGAGGAAGTTTGTGTAGTAAAAAAGAAAGAATGTAAAATAAGTGGTGGCAGTAATCTTTATTTAATTGCCATTTCAGAAAAGAGACAACGAAAGATGGCAAAGAGCACTGGACTTACACTCACAAATACTGGGAGACCCGCACAAACCCTGGCTTCAGCAGCATCTCATTTCCAGAAAAGCTTTGGGATTGTCTTTAACACAGCAGGGCTCACTCACACACAGTGAAAGAGTGGTGGTAGAAGTACTTGTAGATCCCCCTTTTTTGTTCTTTATTTGTTGCTGTGCAAGTACACAATCCGAATTTTGCATTATTTTCATCATTTACATGAACGGCTTGTTCTTTTTGTACTCAAGAGTGTGCGCCTGAATTCTTTGTGTCACTAACTGTATAAGCAGCATTTTGTAGTTTCGCTAGGTGACTACCTCCAGTACAGTGCACACATCGAAGTGTTGTATACTCAAGTCCTCATTGTTTATTGATTGATTGATCTTTATCTGTTCGGTGCACATATCATGTGTGTTTGGTATATTTTAATTAGTGTTAACACTGCTCCTACCCATGGACTTTCATGCCAGCAGAAAGACTCCTGCTGGCAGGTGATAATTGCTGGGTCATTCTAGTTGTGTGACGCTTGTGAGTTTGCATACTTTGAATTTTGAAAGAATATGCCACTTCAAATAGTTCTACTTGGTGACATTAACCTTGTACCTTCACCAGGGGTGTGGAAATATCAAATTAATGTTTTTTTCTGTTGTTTTGTCATGCTAGTTTCTAGCAAGGAACCTGCTTGCTTGAAAAAACTTGAAAGAATATCATTCACACATTACACTATTTTGTTTGACCTGTGTACTGGTGGGCATGTTTATTAATTTAAAGTGCAGGATTTTAAACTAATGATCAAATCTTTGGTATAGCAGCAACTTTTTTTGAAACTTCCAAGTACCTGTATGTTGAACAGGATTTTGAACTAGCCATAAAAGCACACAGAAACAACTGTGAGACATGGTGTCAAATGGAAAATCTTACAGTTGCAAATTTTCAATCTGATTAATTTGCATTATGGCACCAACACCAAGGAACTAGCTATCTTAATGTAAGTAGGGGCAAGTCACTCTGTGAATTTGTTTCATGCATATCTGTTGGACACCTTAACACCTTAAGGCAACAGCTGGGAGTAATATTAGTATTTGTTCATTGCGTGTAGTAGCTATGGCTGGCGCAACTAAAGAGGATGTGCTGGTTGTATGCTTATGCTGTATAATAAATAGATCTACGGGAGGTTATGGGGCCATGAACATTCTGAATAAATGGATATTCAGTCATTGATCCTGTAGTGTATATTCACTGTGTGTGTATATACTGTTGTACAGTTCCTGAATTTCATAGCATGGCCATGGTGACTACATTGTGGGGAATAGGTATAATGTCCATGTACTTAGGTTTTGGTACACATTGCCACGAAATGGTCAAAATCAATCCAAAGAACTTCACTACAGGATTTCTCGGACAAGGCAGTGTTTTTGTTGATAAACCCCAGCAGTCAGTCATAAAAAAAAAAAATTGTAAAGTTAGCTTTTTCTTTTTTATGGCTTGAACAAATAGATTATTTTTAATCCTGTGTTGGATGACAGGTTACTCTTGGCAGTGTTTGACAGAAGCATTGTTTTGATGTTTTCACACCCCTGTGTATAAATACTGTTGAAGTGGCTGACGTGTACAACACATTGAAACAGTGTGTTCATATTATTTGCTGTGAGGATTTAATCATTTACTTGCTGCCATGTTGTGAGATGCCAAGGACTACATTCTGCAGTGCTGGTGTGTGAAAACTGCTTTAACAGGTTTTGGTTGCTGTTGAAACCTTCGAGTTTGCCTTAACATGTGGGACAGTCTTGACCAGGTGCCCTGACTGGCCCACATTCTCACCTAGCCATATACCATCCTGATACACGTGATGCTTCCATATATAAGTAGGCAGGCACTGTTCAGTGTCTATACTGCAGTAGTCTTTCGCTCTGTATAAAAACGAGAGGCAGCCACTCTTACACATAAGAAAAAATAACCTAGCCAGAATGATGTTCATCTTTCTTTTTTTTTATCTTGTTGTCACTGTAGGAGCCCTGGAATACTTTTGCTTGCCTTTTTCCAGATGTCAATCTATTTTCTAAACTTTCAACAATGTTGTGTTGCAGTGCATTTGATAAAAGTGCCAACGTTTGGCTTTCTCACTTGCATTTGCTATGCTGATTGTGTTTCAAAGCACATTGATAAATAGCAGGAGCATAGCCATTCTTTTTTTTTTTTCAGTTGAGTGGGGGGTGGTTTAACCATACAGGTAAGTATGTTTGTGTGTGCATTTCTGTATGCATGTATGTATACACATGCAAAACTGAAAAATTTTGGGTAGGAGGGGGATAATTTCAGCCCCCTCACCTCCGTTGGCTATGCCAGTAATATAAGGTAAAAAATTAATGAGTTCATCACATTCTGTTGCTGGAACATGTGTCTCCCTTTCGGAGCTGCACGCTACTTTCAGATGAAGGTGACTTTCTCTTGAATGACTCTTCTTCCATCTTGACAATTTCCACAAAACTGATGTATTTATTCAGTTTTCCTGTGCGCAAAACTGAACCTGTCAAACTAATTACCCCATTGCCCTGCCATCTGTTAGCCTCCCATTTTAAGTTAGTTGAAAAAGTGGCTACCCACTGTTAGGCTATGGTGCTGGTTACCTGAAGCAGAATGCTCTTTAGCCCTGATTATCTTATGTGGGTTTCTTAGATGGCCTTACAATACATTCAAGGTGGCATCAATTTTCTCTTGCACATTTATACATGACCACTTAACATCAGATGTGGCTCTGTCCCACATTGTATTTCGTGTGCCTATGATTAGAGGAGGTGAGAAACCTCGGTGACAAAGAAACCACAGAATCAATAAAAGGTGTTTCAGGGCCCCTTTAAAAGCTGTGTCTGCAACAGTTTTAGAGACGGTTTTAATACGGCTGGGCTTCATTGTCCTTTCTTTTTCTTTGCCAGTTGACTTAATTGTGTTGTACTTATAACCTTCAGCTGAATCCTGCTGGCAGGTGTGTCAGTTGAGGTTATACATTAATTTCAAGTGAATTGTATTTATGGTTAAAAGGCCATGCCTTGTGGCTGTGTAGCACTTCTTAGTCCAAGGAATGTGGGTGTGCCGTCAAAGCTATGAGACAAACATTGCAAACACTGTGATTCGTTGGAAGTGTTGAAAAGGCAACTGTGAGTGTTTTGTCCAAAGAATAAAGCCACACATAAGCTGAAACCTTTAAAAAAATGGAAGTGAGTGGCAATAGAGATAGTGCCTCATGGGGAGAGAGAGCCAAACAAACAAAATCTTATTCACAAAGTCCTCTTGTGGAAAGTGCTACAAGCTTATATGTATGTGGAGCACTTGTGATTCTTGCGTGCATTTGTGCATTTGAGGCAGTAGCAATTACAGTAATAAGAGAAAATCAGTAATAATATATAGTGTTAACTTGTGTGCTATAAAATATTTCAAGCTGGAATATAATGTATCGCCATATGTTGTTTGTTTAAAAATGGGAAATTGCTGTTAAGGTTGGAGATACAAAGGGTATTTTTGTGTAAGTGCATCTAATCATGTTTCTGTGCATGACTGTCTGTTTATTGGGCAGTTCTCATGTTACATTCAGGTCTGCTGAAGCACCTCTTTTTCATTCTTTTTTTAAAGAATTATTTATAAGTGCTACTTCACAAAAAACAGCGAAACTAACAGCAGGAAAATGTACTTATTGTTTTTTAGACTGTGTTACTTATGGTGTGTACTTTTTATAAACATCAGATTTCATATGAACAGTACTTTTTTCAACATTTGGTAGTGATGTGGATAATTTTGTTATTATAGGTGTTCCTTAGTTATTTATTGTTATGAGATATGCAGTGGGCTAAGATTTGGAGCTGCTATCATGGTAACTAACTTAGCAAACAAGAGTTGTACTTGCAGTTTGGTCATACCCAGAATCGCTGGAGTTACTTTTGTTGCTTGCTTAGTAGTCCTGTGAGGTGCTGCCTTTAGTAGTCCTGTAACGAGTAAAAGAAAAAAAAGTGAATATGATATCATTGTTACACTGTTTTTGTGTTGTGTTTTGTTTGTACATTTGTGACAATCAGAAATAGTGATGTACTTTGACGACTATCAGGACATGCTATAGACAATTTTGGCATGTGTTGACCAAAGCTATTGTCGAGCGTTGAGTAAATCGTTGCTTGAGCTATTGTAGAGCTTTACCGATCCATAATCATGTTTTGCTCGCTTTCTTATTTTTTATTTCTTTTTCTCTTCGAGGTGCATTTGATTCTAGCAGACCTTCGCATAGTATTTACTTGTTGAGTGGCAACTGTCAAGCTTAAACGCTGAGAAGGAGAAAATGTGTGAAAGAAATTGCGTCCATGGTCCCTGTGAAAGGTGACATCTCTGCTTGTCGAGTGATATACCTGAACTTGTCAAACAGGCATGTGTAGGGGCTTTTGTACTGGTTTAAGAGAGAAAGCAACAGTGAAGACCTGTGGTTTTTATTTGCAAGAGCTGCGTGCTTGCAATGAACAGAAGATAGCTCTCTATAGACTAAAAGACTTTACATATTCCACAATTTATGCTGTACCATGGTGCCACTGTGATGATGGAAGTTGTTGCACTGCATATCCCTCTGAATCAAAGTCTAGCCTTCTGTGCTCTTTTTCGACATCCATATTTTGGTAGCTGCACTCATTGAATTTTCTCAATGGCCTCAGTGTGAATCAAAGGCTGGTCCTTGTGGCTTCTTGTTTAGAAGTTGAGTGTTTCATTCTTTTATTAAAATATCTATCTATATAAAATAATTGGCTTTTTCTATTAGCTGTCCTAGTAAAACCATTGTAATGGGCACGAGTGCGGCTAGCAAGTATGGAGATTAGCATGACAGGGGTGATCTAATCTTTCACAATTTGGGTGCCTTTTGGGATGTGTTTCACATTTCATTTTTTAGTTTTTACATTTGCTGGTACACTAGTCCTTTTAGGTGGCACTTTGTAAATTTGCTTAAAGGGACCGACAACCAATTCTTATTGTACTCTTTTTTTTCTGATGCAATAAAAAGATTGTTGGTCACCGTGCCTGATTCTACAGTGAAGTCACAAGGCGATGGGGGCCCTGCGGCGATGGTCTAGTGGCTAAGGTACTCGGCTGCTGACCCGCAGGTCGCGGGATCGAATCTCGGTTGCGGTGGCTGCATTTCCGATGGAGGCAGAAATGGTGTAGACCTATGTGCTCAGATTTGGGTGCATGTTAAAGAACCCAGGTGGTTGAAATTTCTGAAGCCCTCCACTACGGAGTCTCTCATATTCATATGGTGGTTTAGGACGTTAAACCCCACATATCAATCAAAATCAGTCAAGACGATGGGAAATGCTTTTTTTTAAATTTTTTTTGCAAGATCTTCCAATTTTGTTGTCAGAGTCTTGTTCATGAAGTCGTACACTCGAAACATCCCGGAAAGAGTGATGAGTGATTATCATGTTGATCGTGTACCGACCTTTGTGGGAAGAAGAAAACAAACAATCTATAAAGTAACTTTTTTATGAAGTTCACATTCATACAATTCATGCTTTTGAAATGTTAAATTAATTCTGCTAACACAGCTGCAGGTTCTCTTACGTGGTATTCTGTCCAATTGCATCAGCCATGTGCAAGTCCAGACTACGTCATTTTAATATTATAATTCCTTCTTAAATTGTGAGTAGCACATTTGATTCTTTCACTATAAATTGTGGCGTTTTGATTTCCAGCAAGATCTTGTGGCATGATCTTGGTGGTTGTCGGTCCCTTTAAGGCATAAATTCACTGATGCGGTCTAGTTTCATTATACGCTGGAAGTTATTGCGTTGTGGTGCTTTAGGATTTACAGTGAACAAGAGTCCCAGTCTAATAGTTGTGAATGCGGAAGTATTTTTGGATGTGATCTAGCAATTTGTGGTGCACCTTGTTTGCATGCTTTACTGCTCAGTGCAGCAATGATTCAGAATTACCAATCATTGAATAGCTATAAATTAGTGAGTATTTAAACTCTGAAAAAGAAAGGGATTGGGAATGAAGGGAGAAGAAAGTATAGACTGTAACTACTTTTGGTATATGAATATCATCAGCAAGCAGTAAAAACTCTAGTGGGGTTCATTGCCGGGTGTGAATATTGAGCATGACACGTTTTTGTGTAACAAGATTGTTGGCTTGGGGAGGGTCATATTGCTTAGTGAATATTGTACGGGATTCCAGCTTGCTGGTTTTGTGTGTACATTTATAGGCTGGAGCAGGCCTAAAGGGATTTTTCTGGAGACAACCATTTTTCAAACCGAGCTGATTGCCAACTGATTGTTAAGGTTAACACTACCATTTTGCAGTGCTGATTTAGGTCAGCATACTGTTTTTTTTTTTCTGTTATGAGAAAGTAATTCACTGTTAAGTGTTATAATAATGTTATCCAGGTGAATAATCATACTGGTATACATTTAGGAGAACACCTGCTAAAATGCAGATATCTTAATGTAGCAAAATTGTTCATGGCCTACATAGATGATGTATTTGTCCATTTGAGGCATGTGAAACAATTTGAGTGGGTCATTGCACTTTGGATGTTAATGTTAGATTTGATTGCTTGACGTTTTGGGCCAAAGTATAGCTAGGCAGTGATGGGCATCAACTACTTGTATGTAGTTACCCTTCTCTGCTGCCCTGATTAGTAGTTTTGACAACTAGTTTACTACTTTTCAAGTAGGAGACTTGTTAATGACCACTTGCTGTGTGATTAAATAATTTACCTTGTTAAATAGCTGCTCTGTGCACTACCTTACTAAATTGATTCAAAATGTCACATGCTGTCAAAAACTTTATATACCTGTTTTATAGTTTATAGATCAACGATACAATTTATTATTTACCCTGAACTATCGTAGAAAATGTTGCATGCATTCACTAGAGGTATCTGTCAAGTAGCCCTAATTTGTGGCAGCAGTTGTGAAATACCCAAGGGTCATTAAGCCTCTTGAAGTTTTAGATATTCACAAAAGTTTGTTGCCAAGAAAGATGAAATTGTTCATTAGTGACCTGAACCACCATTGAACTTTATTGTGACATCTGGTTATGGGCCGAGATCATGAGCATTGAAGTCAATGCACATTGAAGTCAAAGCAAGCATGACCTTTGAGAACGCACCAACTCTGGGATCATGATAAAGTATGAATGGCCAGCACGTTTGAGTGTTGGGAAAGAATTTGGGCTAAAACTTCAAGCAAAGCTGGTATCATATGAGTGTTGGGTGAGAATTTAGGCTAAAACTTCAAGCAAAGCTGGTGATTATACAATACATATTGTTCAACCTAGAGTCCTGCTTAGTCTCTATAGTTTGTTATAAGGGTATTGCGAATTCATCTGAATTTATTCCCATTTAGATGAGAATGAAGAAAAGGTGAAGGGAAATTTCTCTTGTACGTGGTATTTACCTTGTATGTTATGGTTATGCTAGTGAAGCGCTGCATAGGCATTTCTATGATAGTATTGTATTTTTTGTTACATTAAAAAACAGCAATCGTTGAGCAGTGCTGCTTTTAGAGATGTCATAGCAACCTTTTTGCAGAGGGCATAAGCCACAAGTTATCTTCACTTTGCATGCATATAAAACAAGCATTGCCTTATGCCACTACTTGCTGTCATCTCGTCTTCATAAAGTTATTGAGTAAACTTGTAGCATCACTCGCCAGTAAGTTTCCCAAAAAATGGAGATGCCTGATTCAGTGCAGGTCAGCACTTTTTTTTCTTTTTTTAATGCATATGCGTAGTCACTAAGTTATGAACCTTGTGAAAGATATATCAGTAGATTTAGATGAAAGCATTGTGTTCAATACAAAGTAATTGTAGCATTGTTAAGCACCTCTTTTATTTTTATTCTTTTATATGGTAACAACAATTTTTAAAAATTTTCTGCATATTTGCTGCCACATGGCTGCATCAGTTTTTTATATTAATTGTGCTTTTCATGTATTTTCTGCTTTTCATATAAATGACAAAATAGGTATTTATCTAGTTTAATTGTGTTTTTGGGTGTCTACGGAAATTGATTCTTGTGATTCACCTTTATATTTGCTTTTTAATTACACACATGCATCTTTTTATTCTGTGCACAAGGTGCATATACTAAAGCGGCACATACATGCAGTAAAAGAGTGTGACATCTTGAAAATGCTTAGATATTAGCATATTTTATCATTGTTGAGAGCATGTCTTGCTGCCAAAAGTATCATTTAAAGTGCTCATTAAGGTTGCTCTTTTGTTTCATAGTTATGGACACATGCAGCTACTTGAAAAGTAGTCAAAACTAGTTGTGTAACTAATATGTTAGCTGTTGCCCATCACTGTAGCTAGGATATAGATGTCTTACTGCAGATACAGGCAAACAATGTTTAGGGGAGATTTGTTCCATATCATATTCACCAGTAGTATACTTGATAGGAGTTTAAGAAATACTGTTTAGCCAACTGGATATTAGCCACAGCAGCTGTAGTTATAAGTTGTTGACCAGCAGCTTGCTTAAGAGAAGAGTTTGTCTGCTCTAGTTGGCATATAGGCTTGGCTTTTGTTTTTACGGTACTTGTTCTTTTTTATCTTTTGACACCCTGAAGTGCACCTCTTTTGTCAACTTCATTTCTTCAATGTCTAAAAACTCTTGCTTGCAGATGTTCCTAAACAGGTGTTAGGCCATTCAAGCAATAATAGCAGCAGAGTGAACCCACTTGCACCTCTTCTTTAAAAAAAAAGTTGTTGCATGTTTGTCCAAGCTCAATGCTTTTCGACACTGCGTTTTTATTGTTGTGAAAAATAAAAAGTGGCTGAGATACTGTTACAGCCATGTGCTTCTGGCATAAACGAATTGGGTATACTTTCTGTTCACGCTTGTTTTGTCGACTGTGGAGGGCAGGACATACATTTTTAACATCAGTGTGAGCTTGTAGCATACTACTACTGTGATGACAATGGTGACCCATTGATAATCTGCATGTGACGTTCAGAGGTGTAATTGGACTGGCAGTCTATAGCACACCCTTTTATCGATTATGGATACAGCCTTGAAGACGTGGACATGTGAAGGAAGCACAAATATGGCACTACTTTATTGCTTGATAACATACAGGTCACTTATACGAGGTTGTCTCAAAAGTTCACGCGAGCAAAAGTGGCTGAGGAAGAGTGGCAGCACCGCTCTCTTTTGCTTTCCACTTTTGTTGACAGAGAAAGAGCTGGATTGCATTTTTTAAGGCAAAAATTTCGTATCTGTGCATTTTTCGCAGCACATATTGACCTTTGTCACAGTATAGGTCGACAAACAGTCAATGAAGAATCGCTATCAAATTTTTTGCCAACTTTGGCTAGAACAATGTATAAATCAGTAAATTTTACAAACAGAATATGTAAAAGATGCCCAATTAAAAACTGTTCAGGCATTCACTCTGCTTTGGTCGTCAAGACTTCAGAAGTACCAAAAAATGCTCTCCTCATGCAGAATTGTAAAGATTGATTGTTTGCCATCTTGTGCTCAGTGACTGTTGAATGACTGAATATCAGAAGCACTTGGTTTAGGAAGGCCATCTATCCACTGGATTTCAATGGAATATAACATTTGCACCGAAGTGGTGTGGCTACTGCACACACTGAAGCAAGAGTTGCACAGAAGAGAATATTGTATGTTGATTGATAACAAATGTAGTGTGTGAAAAAATTGATTAGCCAAGGCCTCAAGAAAAGTGTAAAAGCAAAACAGAACCCTGGAGGACACGAGCTTTGCTGTCAAGAGCAGAATGCGACAGCAAAATGCAGCCCCGTTCTCGTCATCTTCTCATTCACTGTTCTCAGTGGCCACCTGAACCGTACCAGCAGGAAAGTTTAAAATGTTCAATGCTACATGCCTGTGCATGTAGCATTGGACATTTTAAACTGCCTAAGAATGGATGCCTACCGCAACTACTCTTGTGAAGTGCCCACAGTGCCACAATTCATTTTTGGGAATTGGCTATGTACTTCTACGCATCCATAGGACAATATGCGGACCTTCGAAGCTGCACATTTTCCT